GTTTATGGGCTTTGCCTCCTAGAACAGTGGGTGATCTGGTTGTTCATGGGGTGGTGTGTATAATGATCCTTCAAAGTAAAACCCAGAGATGTATGCGTGTGGGTTTTGAGGAGGAGGGATAGTTGGAAGATAAAAGATAGGGGCTTTGGGACGAGTATAGACGAGCACTACCTTGCTAATCGTAGCACAAGGTAAGTTTAAGAATGACAAAATGACGAGGTGACAAAGTTCCCAGTGATAGCAGGCTCCTGGCGCACAGACTGTAGTGCTCAGAAGGACTCTAATCAAAAGGGATAATAATGGCTTCAAAAGTGGCAAGTGACAATGGCAGCAGATAACAGTGGTAGCAGTGGGAAGTATTGTGACCACACTAGATCACAAGTAGCAGTAAGAAGTGGACTTGAGATTAGAGAAGAAGTCTGGTTTGGATTTCTTTTTTTATAAGGTAAAATACAGGGGTTTATATAGTAAAAGAAAGGTAGGCTATGCACAGTATAGCTTTGCAAAAAAAATGAGAAAGAACATGAATGAATGTATGCTGACAAATCCTGCACAGATAGTACAGGATAAGATTGTCAAAAAAAAGGAAAAGAAAGGGATAGAACAATGAATGCTGTGTAGGTAATGTCATAGGTTTGTACAGCCATAAAATAAAGTCCAATAGCAGAAAGAGAGCAAGAAAATCATAATGTCATGGGAAGATGCAGTAAAAAAAGGCAAGGCAAAACAATATCAGTATCAACACAGTTCCTTTATTGCCAGTCAGGCATTCTAAAAAAAATATGTGTCCATAAAAATGATTCAAAAATCATCATCCTAACTTTTGCCCTACCAATCCTATTTGTCATCTCATATCTCATATACACAACTATAACAACCAACTTAAACCCTACCACATCAATCCCCATCCCTCCACGTCCATCCACCATCATCTCATTCTTTCCCAGAGATGTAGAATCTCTCGAGGAAATTCCCCTCACTCCAATTCCCCTAGTTACAACTTTACCCGGTGTAGACTTGAGCGAAGTTTAGATAAAACTTTACCTACAGTTCAAATTCTCTTACCTTTGACCAGGCCGTGCACTTGCATCCGCCAGTCGGGAGAAGAACTGACAGCTTAATAAGTGGGTTATTTTGGGACAACCATTTGGGCCCCAAAATTAGTACTATACATTTTACCTACCCTTTGTAAACACCTTATATCAACCATACGTACAAGATAGTTCTGGGCAGAAGAGGACCAGATTATCAAAAGTGGAAAGACAGTATCTACAAGCTTTACAGCAGTGTATTGACCTGATTTGTCATTGGTGAACTCCTGTACATGTGTAGAGACAAATTGAAAACTTGAATAGAAACCGAACAAAACTATACAACTACATATATCTGGTGTGGAGACTTCCCATTACCAGAAATTGAACCAATCAGATTCCTATCCCCACGATCACCTACACCACAAATAAAACAAGAATCACCCAAACCTGTCGTACCTAAACTCCATTGAATTCATGCAATTTCGGCAAAGAAAACCATCAATAAGCAGTATGACAAACAGCATGACCGACCTAATCGGGGCATTGCCGGAAGCTGGACCCAGCCAGACTCAACCGACAATACCAACTGATTTAACCCCAGAGATCCAAGAATGGATGGAAAGAATGCTAGAAGCAGAAGTTGCCAGGAGAGTAATGAAAGCAACCAAAAAAGAAAGAGAAGGGCGGACAATGGCGCACAGAGCAGCAGAAAGAGTGGAGGAAGAGAAAGAAGACTATCAGAGACTATGGGAGCAACAGCTCATTATCAACTCCGAGACACCAGACAGAGAAAAAGGTGCAGAGAAGAGGGAACCCAGAAGAACTAGGAGTGCATTAGACAACCCTCCAACATTCAATGGGGACCAGACAAAGTTTAAGGACTTCATGGAGCATGTCTCACTTCACTTCGAAGAAGATCCCACATACTTTGGAGATGAAAAGAGAAAGATAACCTTTGTACTGTCATACATGAAAGAAGGAACCGCCGCCAACTTCAGAAGCGAGTGGCTGGAAGAAAAAATGGCTGTTACATCTATTAAGAACAAAGCTTGAAGGAAGTGTCTAGCCACTTGCTGAGAGCAATCAGGGACTGGAACTAGAGTCCAATGTGAGTAACTTTATTATTAGAGAGTATGACAGGTATACAGTACCTAGAGTCCAATGTGAGTAACTAGAGAGTAGGAAGCATTGGACTCTGCAGTACTGTCCGAAGTTTTGTAAACAAAGATAAACAAAGCAGCCACAAAGGCGAAATAATAGAGAACACAATCAATAGTGAATGATAGAAGAATAGATAGAGAAAGGAATGAAAATATATAGGTAGCACAAAGGTGCAGAATCACCAAAACTAACAAAAAGATGGTAAAAAGTGTATGATTATGGACTATCATTATGTGAATGAGTAAGTTGGAGCTCTAACCTTGATAATGGGATCCGGCATCCAAACATGGAAGTAGTATTGTTGTTTGCCTGGGTGAGAAATTGCAATGGATGATAAAGCTCTCCGTCTCATGCTACTGGAGTATCTGGTGTCGGATGATGAGGACTCAATGAATGATGATGACAAAGAAGACCATGCTGTACTCGCCACCTCTAAATCAATTGTGTTATACTCTCAATCACTGTACAACAAGACACCATACTACACTTCTGTGCTGTCAGGCCAAGGCTGGATCTAAGAGCTGATCAATGGACATCCGGGTAGGATCAAAAGCGAGCTAGGTGTAAATAAGCATGTATTTGAAGGGCTGATCAGGTTGTTGAGGCGAGCAGGCCATACCAATTCCAAACATGTCACCTTACAGGAGAATCTGGGTGTCCTCCTGTATATGTGCGTCACAGGGCTCACTTTCAAGCATGTTGGCAAGTGTTTCCAGCGTGCAAATGACACCCTTTCAAAGTGAGTAAAGTTTTATCTACTAATGCACCAGCTTTTCACCATTTTACAGGTATTTCAAGGAGATTTTATTCGCATTTTCATCAGCACCTATATACACCGACTATGTACACTTACCCTCTGCCAATGATTCCATTCCACCCAAAATTCAAAACAACCCAAAGCTATTTCCATTTTTTTCAGGTGCTATCGGCGCCATTGATGGTACGCACATTGCATGTGCCCCAAAGTCGTCTGAGCGCCATCTGTCAAGAAACCGCAAGGGAGCAGTCACCCAGAATTGTCTGGCATGCTGCTTCTTTGATTTACGGTTTCTCTATATGCTTACAGGGTGGAAGGGCTCTGCCGCCAATGCAGCCATATACAATGATGCTCGGTAGCATGATCTACGTGTCCCCCCAGGTAAATATTACCTGGTGGACGCTCATTTTGGGTCTTGCCCTGAACTTCTTGTTCCTTATTGAGGGGAATGTTATCATTTGGCCAAATGGGGCCGTGTTGGACTTAGTTGAGTCTATTTGTGATATGTCTAGCTATTTTAACATTATAACTAGGCCAAAGAGCAAGGAAGAGCTCTTCAATTTGCGGCATGCTCAAGCTCGCTGCTGCATCGAGCAAATCTTCGGAGTTTTCAAGTGCCGGTTTTGAATCCTTATCTGCCCCCCCAAATTTGATATGGACATTCAAGCCCGTGTACCATCAGCGCTTTGCATGGTACACAACTACATCTGAACTCATGATCCTGAAGATATTGATATTTTCCCCGAAGCAAGTACTACCTCAACCCTGGAGAGCACTGGCTCCCAGACCGGCTTGGAGCCAATTCGCGTTGTGATCAGATTGCAGAGAGGATGTGGGCATTGTATTGTCGAGAGCTGAGGACAAGAGGCCAATTATTTACAGAGTAGCTAGGGTGCCGGTATTTGTTTGTTTTCTCATAAGTTCACAGCAAAATTGATTATATTTCCACATCAACGTATATAGTTTACATTTGAGCAGGGATACAGCAAGTTATAACAAAAAATGAAGACAACAACAGACAACAACAGACCTAGTTGGACAGAAATGCAGTAAAGTCCTTCAACAGCTTATCCACCCACATTATGCAAAGATTTTTGCCCTGTGTGGCCATATCAAGGTAATCGCCTATCAGCACATTATCTGCACGGAGCATATCAATGAATGCAATTTTTTTCTCGTCATTGAGCTGTGTCTTGATCTGCCCAGCCATTCTAATGGCCTGACTCCTTGTGTTCAAAGGCTCAACGTGTTGAGAAGACGAAGACGAAGCGTTGTTTGAAGATCCACCACCGGATACGCTGCCAGTGAAAGCACTCTCTACAATGTTCAGGAAACGGTACCTGAAGTCATTGCGCTTGGTATCGCGCTGCTCCTTGTTATCTGCCATCCTCTGCATCTGTTCCTTCACACCATTGATTGCAGCGGTGCCAGAAGAACGTAGGGCTTTGCTTGGGGTGGCAGAGATTACAGAGGTACTATCAACGGCCAAATACTTGCGTTTTCCGGAGGACGTGATGCTGACAGATGCGCTAGTAGGTTTGGAGTGGATAGATGACACTTACAAGGTGCCGGATTCACTCCCACTCTTTCCCTTGTCTTTTCTGGCGCTAACAACCGCCTTTCTTTCAATTGCCTCTCTTTCCGCACCCTCTTCATCACCTTTGTCCTCTCCATCCTCCCCTCCATCATTGCCTTCAGCATCCACACCCATCCTATCTTTACTCGCTGAACTGATCTTTGCAGATTGTGCTTGAGATGCACGGAAAATGTGAGTCCCTTTTGCCCGGCTTGGTAGAATAGCTGTGATCGAGTCATACCACCTCCACCCATCTGAAGCTAACCGGTTGTAGGTTGACTTAACATCTTTCGGCTTGCTCTGCAAAAAAAAGGTAAGTCCATCCCATACCTGCTAAGGATAAAGATGCTCACTTTGAGGAAAGCATCCCAAATGTGCCTGTTTGCATCAGTAATCTTCAGTCCACATTGTACGTCAAATCCAAGCCCGGAAGCGTTCATCAACTGATCTACACAACTAAGCTCCTTCTTTAGCTGAAATAGCAGTTAGCAATGAAGCTTTAAAATGTACTTCTACTACTAACACTGAACCATTTGTTACAGATTGAGTCGGCTGTTTTGGTGGCTCCTTTTGTTGTTAAAGGAGCCAGAATGCCCTCAGCCAGGTTATAGAACTGAGGCTTATACCCCCAACCCTCTCCAAGCAGGCCAACATGCTCCTCAGCAAGTTCAACCAATTTTTTGGTGTCACTTTCTGTCCAGATATACATTGTGCAGCATTAGTCAACAGAGATGCTCCTCACATGTGTCCTGCTGGATGTGGAAAGTCATTCGCAACAGCCCATGCCGTCAATGCCCATCTTGGCTCTGCAAACAAATGTCTATGGTACCACAAAGGGAAGCTACGAGCACTCACTATCCCACAGTCAGAAGAAGATCTTGAAGAAGCCAGTGGATTAGACATGTTGATAGAGGATGATGGGGAGGAGGAGACAACTGGAGACGTACTACAGGAGCTGCAAAAAGACCTATTCTCCTTTGTTCCCATCCAGCCTCCTGATATTATAGAAGACAAGCAGAACATAGCAGGCCCATCCCTTCATCCAAACTTAATTATCTTAGATGATGATGAGGATGAATGTATAGAGGTGGAACATCCCACTGCTGGCAAGGTCATAAGTATGGATGAGACTTTACATCAGAGGTGGAGAAGAGAATTTTTTAGGGCAGGTGGAGGTGGAGATAGAGGTGAAGACGTAGAAATGGGTGAAGATCCAGATCCCAAGTTCTTTCCCTTTGCCTCAGAGATGGATTGGAGGGTAGCCTGCTGGGAAATTAAAGATGGTATAGGGCATCAGTCATTTGATTGACTGCTAAGTATTCCAGGTGTCAGTGATTTCACAATTTCTCTGTACTTTGCTCATACTTTTTCCCAGGTCAAGGAGAAGCTTGGCTTGTCATATCATAATATATGTGCATTACACAAGATTGTTGACCACAACATACCAGCCAGGGCTGAATGGAAATCAACCATGATCTCTTTTCGGGATACTCCTGATGACACACACCTAATCCAGTACCGTGATGTACTGTCAGCTATCAGAACTCTCCTGGGAAATCCAGCCCATGTTGAAAATATAGTCTATCGTCCCAAAAAGGTTTTTACAGATGCAAGTAGAGGATATACCATGAGATGTGGACAGGGAAGTGATGGTATGCTATCCAGGTGTGTGTGAATCTTCTACATTGACTTATACAATCTTTGGAATAGACTTGTCTACCATTTGGGGCAGCCTTGGTGCCTGTTATTATTGCAACAGACAAAACCCAGCTTACACAATTCTCCAACTCTAAATCAGCTTATCTTTGTCTATCTCACGTTGGGAAACATACCCAGAGCCATAAGACGCAAGCCAAGCCAACATGCTTGCATTCTCATAGGATATCTGTCCGTCAATAAAGTTAAGGGATTTCAGCTTACAGCAAAAGCAAAGTCATCAAGAGTTCAGCGTCTATTCCATGAGTCTATGAGGGTTATACTAGAACCTTTGAAGAAGGCTGGCATTGAAAGGATGGACATCACTGGGGGTGATGGGGCTGTCAGGAGAGTTCATCCTGTTTTGGCTTGCTACGTTGCAGATTATCCAGAACAATGTCTTGTGACATGTACAAAGTATGGCACCTGTCCCAAATGCAAAAGGCCTGCTTCTGAGCTTTCAGAATCTACTTCTGGAGAGCCACATACACAGAACTGGACAGAAGAAGTCATTCAGAATGCTAGAGCTAACACAGATTCCTTCTATCAATTTCAAGAGAGATGCAAGGATAACAATGTCTCTGGTGGTGTTTACGAGCCATTCTGGCTTAACTTCCCTCATTGCAACATTCATTTATCTGTTTCCCCTGACATTCTCCATCAACTATACCAAGGTGTCTTTAAGCATATGGTGAACTGGTGCAAGGACCTTATGGATCCCAAGGAGCTTGATTAGCACATTTCCTCCCTTTCTGCTTGCTATAGTGTCTGTCATTTCAAAAATGGAATTTCTGCATTAGGCCAGATTGGTGGAAAGGAAAGAAAGGATATGGCCCGCATATTGCTAGGATGTTTGATTAGAAAGATTCCAAGGAGTGTTATACTTGCATACTAATCCCTCTTGGACTTCATCCAGATAGCACAGTATCCCACTCATGACAACACCACTCTGGGCTACCTTTCAGATGCTTTGGACACTTTCCACAAACACAAAGATATATTGGTATGACTCAACATAAGAGAACACCTGAATATCCCTAAATTCCACTCTCTCCTCCACTACTGCCAGTTCATCACATGGTTTGGAACCACCCACAATTACAACATCGAGATATTTGAGCGCTTCCATATCAACTTTGCAAAAGAAGGTTGGAGGGCTTCTAATAAAAGAAATGAAGCACCACAAATGGTGACATGGCTTCTGTGTTGTGAAAAGGTGGTGGCTTTCCAAAGCTATCTGAAAATGACCATGGATAATGAAGAAGACAAATTCCCTCACTCCAAATTCCAAGACCAAAGGCTTGTCATAGCGGAATACCCTAATAAATGTCAGCAAAGCATTTTGGACGTCATTGTTACAATTAACATACCAGCACCTACTTACGCTATCATGCACCAAAGTTGATTGGTAGCATGGACAGGTGTCAATAACGAAGCGAATATTCAAAAAGACTCGCCTTTGCGCCACACAGGCACAGTGCCATGTGGAATAGTAATTAATATTGCCTGTTTTGAACTTGTGGCTGATCAGCACCACCTCTATTAGGCAATCCAGTTACGCTCACCTTTGCTTTTCCATCCGGTACTTTCCGCATTTCGGCATTTCGGCAAATTTTCACGTCGCCACTGGCTACACATTGCATTGTGCCCTCACTTTTGTTGTTTCCCTTACTCCCCTTCCTTTGCCTAGCCCCACCATGGGCCCCTTCCTCTCCTTTTTATTCTCACCTGATGGTCATTTCTGGATCCCCATTCTAATCCACTTTTTCGTCACCTCCACCCTCCTCCTCCTCATCTTATTTGCACCCCCACCATTTCTGATGTCACCACTTCCTATCCGCTTCCGTCGCCGATCCGTTGACTACCACGTGCCACTGCTGATATCAGCAAAGCCCCGGCGGCCGGTCCATATAGGGCAACAGGTCCATCTTCATGACGTCGATCTGCCATCATATACTATCAAAACATCAGTCGCTCGTCTTGCCTGGTTGGAGCGTGGGTGGGTAGTTTTTGAGCTGGAGAAGGTTCATCCCCTTGCATCGCCCATGTTCATCGCTGTCCCATTCACTTGGGTACACTTATCTTTTGTCCATCGTCTTCGCTACAGCTACACCTATCACACGCTGCCTGGGACTCACTTGTTCCAAATTGGAACTACTCCTCTCCCTCCCTCATTTGATCAGGTGGTCCAACACAGCCAGTCCATTGGTAAGGCCATGGAACTGTCAGATTTGGACTAGGTGGTGGACCGGTGGCTCCAGTTTCTTTTTCTTCAGCAGAACATTCATTTACAGTGCGATTATTTTTGATTTTTGAATCATTTTTATGGACACATATTTTTTAGAATGCCTGACTGACAATAAAGGAACTGTGTTGATACTGATAGTGTTTTGCCTTGCCCTTTTTTTACGGCATCTTCCCATGACATCATGATTTTCCTGCTCTCTTTTTGCTATTGGACTTTACTTTATGGCTCTACAAGCCTGTGACATTACTCACAGCATTCATTGTTCTATCCCTTTCTTTTCCTTTTTTGACAATCTCATCCTGTACTACCTATGCAGGATTTGTCAGCATACATTCCTTCCTTCATGTTCTTTCTCATTTTTTTTGCACAGCTATACTGTGCATAGCCTACTTTTCTTTTACTATATAAACCCCTGTATTTTACCTTGTAAAAAAAAAGGAACAAGAACTCCAATCCAAACTTCTTCTCTAATCTCAAGTTCACTACTCTCTGTTACTTGTGATCCAGTGTGGTTACAACACTTCCCACTGCTACCACTGTTAATTGCTGTCATTGTCACTTCCCACTTTTAAAGTCATTGTTATCCCTTTTGATTAGAGTCCTTCTGAGCACTACAGTTTGTGCGTCAGGAGCCTGCTATCACCGGGAACTTTGTCATATTGTTGTTCTCAAACTTACCTTGTGCTACGATTAGCAAGGTAGTGCTCGTCTATACTCGCCACAAAGCCCCTATCTTTCTATATTCCAACTATCCCTCCTCCTCAAAACCCACACCCATACATCTCTGGGTTTTACTTTGAAGGATCCTCATACATACCACCCCACAAACAACCAGAGCACCCACTGTTCTAGGAGGCAAAGCCCATAAACAAGTTCCGTGGAATCTGGGAGGATTGTGTGTTAGTTTGTTTTTGTGTGTGGTTTCCTAACAGCAGTTCTCATCTTCGACAATGCTTCACTTTTTTACTTCTACTTTTATTTTCCAAGTCACATGACCAGTCATGTGACCATTTACTTTACTTTACATTTTCGACTTTTCATAGTCACATGACCAGTCATGTGACACATTACCTGACCAGTGTCTAGACTCATCATGTGACCGGTCACATGCTAGATATTGGACTTTAAACTTTATTTACAACTGTACAGTACCTCATGTATTTTAGTATATATACAGGAGCAATACATGGGGAAGGACTCAGCAAGTCCTCCTATTGTCTAGCACAACTAACTCATTGCAGCCTAAGGGGTAACCACTCCCCATCATCTTCTTTATAGTGTGTTCCTGTGTGCGCCAGAGTAAATAACTCTTGGTTGTTACAGTCATGGAGAAACATCAGTGTCCTGGATTTGAATCAGCACTCAAAGTCTTCCTTAACAGTAAACTAACTCACTCAAATACATGTTGTGAAACCAGATTACTACCCCTTCTATTTCAAAACCTTGATATCTTCTATGGCTTCAAATTCTGTTTAGATAGCCTAGGCAACAATGTCGACCTGGAGAATGACCAGGTAGATTCTGTCAAAGCCAGGCCAAGTGGAAAAAACAATCTGTTGTCACAGTTTGACACAGTGGTTGTGATGAATTCTCCTGATTGTGAGGCTACAGGCATAAAAGGTAATGTTTCTCTTACCCTATAACCACAAGCACATCTAATACTAATGACTGTATTCAAGGAACAAGAATTGGGAGATTGAGAGTAATCTTTAAACTACCTAAAACACTATACAGTTTCGACTCATCCCCCAATAATTGGCCAAAATATCATTTGGCATATGTAGAGTGGTATAGCAACCTCGAATCCACAGCTGAAAAGGACCACTTAATGTACTCTGTTAATAAGGTACCTCTAAACACTGAAGGTTTTCCTCCAGGACAAATTATCCCTTTATCCAGTATTAGACAGCTTTGTCAACTTATCCCTGCTTTTGGTGGTTTGCACGATACATGTCCTCATCATTGGACTCATAGTAATATTCTGGATGTTTGTCACAAATTTTATCTTAATAACTTTAGTAGCAAATATGCATATCAAACATTATGGTATTGATATATAGCATTTTAAATTTTGCGTCTATAATACTATTATTGCTTTTGTTGCTCCCATTGCTCTTATTGCTCATATAACACTATAGTCACTATGATCATACTATAGTTTCTCTTAAAGTACTATAGGGACTTTGATCATACTATAGTTGCTTTTATAGTGCTATAAGTGCTATAGGTGCTATAATAGGCTTTATTTGCACATATGTACAAACCCCTTTGCTATATAGCAAAAGGCTTTTTCCTGATGTCACTATTGGCAACCTTTCTGGTCAACATTCCCAGGGCCGAGATGAGGACAGATCAAACAAAGTGGTTGCCTCACAGCGCTCCATTCAGGACAGTCTCAGTTATGCAAGAGAGGTCTCTAAGATGTATGATCTCCCTCCGGACACCTTGAATGACTTTGTCCATGTAGGTTCATTCTAAATCTCTCAATTTTTATTATTTCTCTGATATCTTATACTCAAATAAAGCTTGCAAGCCCCATGCAGATGTAAATACATTTGCATGGGCAGCTATTGTCCTTACAGAAGACCATATCTCTCTCAAACTGAGCAGCCATTCAAGATTACATATCATTTGCCAAATATTTTGTAAGTTCTTCTTCTCCTTCTCCTATGTATTCATTCTAAATCTTGCATAGTCAGTTTTACAGAACCGTACAATGGCGTGTCTTCTTACCACCAACCTTAAATACTATCACAGGAAGTTATCTGATCAAATGAACGTAAGTGACTTGATTGCTTAACCTACTGTATACTAACTGCAAGATAAAAATTTATAGAGGAACAACCTCAGGTTTTCAAGGTCCCGGATGGCGCCCTTGACAATCCAGAGATCAAAGGCCACCTGATTTCACTCATCAAAAAGGCCCTGACTCTCATGCGTTCGAAGATCAAAGACAAGGTACATTATTTTTCCTTCACGAAGACCAAGAACTCACTGTCTACCTCAAGCTTCTGCTATCTGTTGTGGAAAAGATGCAGATTTCCGAGCTATATACACTCATAGCTTCAAGGGGTTTTGACATTAGTTTAGACTATTGGAAACGCGCTTGTTTCCTGGTAAGTAAGCTCATACATTCACTACTACCTACTGACTACTCTACAAGCGTAAAATGTTGCTGGTTTTTAGGGCCTGTTCAATTGAGAACTTCTGGGAAGTGTCTAGCCACTTGCTGAGAGCTAACAGGGACAGAACTAGAGTCCAGTATGAGTAACTAAAGAATAGGAATGCTCAGTGTAACATATATATACTAAAATACATGAGGTACTGTACAGTTGTAAATAAAGTTCAAAGTCCGATGTCTAGCATGTGACCGGTCACATGATGAGTCTAGACACTGGTCAGGTAATGTGTCACATGACTGGTCATGTGACTATGAAAAGTCGAAAATGTAAAGTAAAGTAAATAGTCACATGACTGGTCATGTGACTTGAAAAATAAAAGTAGAAGTACAAAAGTGAAGCATAAGTAGGTGCTGGTATGTTAATTGTAACACTCAGTGAATACTGAACAATACAGCAAAAAGAATAAAGAGGAAAGTGATTTAGAAAGAAGGGAAAATAGATAGCACAACTAGGTGCAGAATCACCAAAACTAACACTCCCCCCTGATACTGCACCTCCCAAGCATTAGCTCCCCCCTGATCTAACAAGTCCCATCATCTGTCTGAACATTTCAACTTTAGGCTTAGCCAGAGCCTTGGTCAACAAATTAGCAGGCATTTCAGTAGTGGGCACAAAGGTGGGAGCAATTTGGCCAGAGCCAACAATATCTTTCAACCAATGCCAGCGTAAATCAAGGTGCTTCATTCGACCATGGTGTTCAGGATTCTTAGACACAGAGATGGCAGATTGGTTGTCAATGTGAAGGGTGGAAGGAGAGGTGATAGGATAGCCCATTTCCTTCAGCAGATTTTGCATCCAGCAGATCTCCTTGCCAGCTTCAACAGCAGCAATATATTCTGCCTCAGTGGTGGAAAAAGTAACAATGCTTTGAAGTTTGGAACTCCAAGAGACAGCACCAGATCCAATCTTGACAAGGTAAGCACCAGTAGAACGTCCAGAGTCCTTGTCACACCATGATCAGCATCAGAGAAAGTGGTGAAGAGTTCAGTGGAATTAGGATCAGGGCCAAGGACAAGTGAGTGATTGAGGGTGCCTTGCAAGTAGCGGAATAAGTGCTTGACAGCACCCCAGTGAGTGGGCCCAGGATTGAAATTGAATCTGGCAAGAACTCCAACAGTATAGGTAATATCAGGACGAGTGGTGGTGGCCAAATACAAATACATCAGAGCACCAACAGCAGCAAGGTAGGGAATGTCCTTCATCAGTTGCACTTCTTCTGGTGTCCTGGGAGACATATCCTTGGTGAGGCGTGAACCAGGGTCCATTGGAGTGGACACAGGCTTGCAATCCTTCATGCCAAAGTGCTCCAGAATGTCCAGAGTGTACTGATGTTGGGAGAGGGAGATGGTGCAATTGCTGAGGTCTCTGGTGATGGAAATGCCAAGTAGGTAGGAAGTAGGGCCAAGATCACAAAGTTTGAAGTGTTGAGAGAGGTCCTTGACAGCTTGGTCAAGTGCAGAATTGGATATGGATGCCAGTGTCATGTCATCAACAAAGACAGGTAGAATAATGTGCACTTCACCTCTATTAAACACATAGATGGCAGAGTCAGAGTAAGTGCGATTAAATCCGAGTTTTTCAAGCACAATGTGCATCTTCTGGTTCCACATCCTGCCTCCTTGCTTGGTCCCATAAATGGCCTTGTAGCGCTCAATGGAGCCATCAGAGTTGTGCTTGATCTTAAAGACCCACATGCCACCAATTGCCTTTTCTCCAGGAGGTAGTTCCATTGTGCTCATGAGCTTGGAGCTCTTCCATGGCTGCTTCTCTCCATTTATCTGCATCAGGACGCTTTATTGCATCTGCAAATGACCTAGGCTCAGCAGAGTCTCCAAAGTGTGCCACTTCATCATCAACTGCCTCAGAATCACTACTATCGCTGTTATCACTCTCAATGGCAGAAGTAGGTTGTCTGTGTTGAAGCCACCATAGTCTAGGTGGTCTCCTAGCCCTTGCAGGGCGTCTCAGTGCAATAGGCAAGTCAGGAGAAGGTGAGCAATGAGGAGGGTGATCTGGAAGCTCAAGAGGTTGATTCACAGGTGGTTTTGCATCAAGGTCCAAATCAGGCCCATCATCAGGCAAGTGCTGAGGTTGCTGAGGTTGCTGAAGTACAGCTGGTGGGTCAATATCTCCCCCTGGACCTGGTGCAGGGACATTCTCATCCAGGCCCAAAGGCATGGGAAGTGAAGGTGGCAAAGGTGGAGTAGAAGTCTTTTTCAAGCCAGGGAAGTAGCGCTCATCAAAATCAGCTCTCTCAGAGATAATAGTGCGTTTGGTGGTAGGATTGTAGAATTTCCAACCCTTGTACCCAGCAGGGTAACCAATGAACACACATTTCTCCATGTGAGAGCCAAAGACACCTCTCTTATCCTTTTGCACATGCACATAAGCAATGCACCCCCAAACACGAAGGTGTGACATGTCTGGTTTATGTCCATGCCACAATTAATAAGGAGTAGCATTGACCACTGCATCAGTGGGACACCTATTCCAGACATGCACCAAGGCACCTAGGCATTCACCTCAGAAGATATTAGGCAATCCAGACTCTGAAAGCATGGTAGTGATTCTTTTAGAGAGAAGCCTGTTTGCTCTTTCTGCAACTCCATTCCGCTGAGGCCTATTCTGGGTGGTATGCTGTCTGACAATGCCATGATCATCTGTGAATTGCTCAAACTCCTTGGAGATGTACTCTCCCCCTTTGTCATCGCGCAGAGCCTTGATTTTTCGCTCTAATTGAGTCTCAGCATAAGCCTTGAAACTCTTGAAAGCATTAAAGATATCCGACTTGGCCTTCAAAGGGACAACGACACAAAATTGAGTGTAATCATTGATGAAGGTGACCCAATATTGATACCCAGAGAATGAAGGGGAGGAGACTTGGTGTACATCAGAGCGGATGAGGTCTAGAGGGTGAGCAGAGCAATGAGAAGATGAAGGGAATGGGTTGGCAGACATTTTTCCAGACAGACATGGTTCACAGATAGGATCAGGAGTATATTTAGACTCAAGTGTCATTCCAGTAACAAGGTTTTCTTGTGTCAATTTCTTGACATCAGCATAGTGGTGGTGAGCCAATCTTCAATGCCAAAGGTTTAAGTCAAGTGGAATTGTTGCAGAAAAGTGTCCTAATTCAACACAAGAAACAGTGGATCCATCAAGGAATGCAGCATTATTGTTGTTGATGGTTGCAGTGAATAAGAGAGTGTTGCCACGTATGAAGGACATAGATTGAGATGAAATGATGACTTTGAAACCACTTTGACGAGTTAAGTACAAGACTGAGAGGAGATTATTTCGAAGATCTGGTACATGCAGCACTCTGGAAAATTCTACAGCCCTTGATTCCTTGCCATTGATGATAGGGTTAAACACCACAGTACCAATACCAGCTGAATAAACAACAGTATGATCTGCTAACTTTATGGGAACACGATATGGTGCATAATTGCGAATCCAGTGACGATGAGGTGTCATATGAGAAGTGGCACCTGTGTCTGCATTCCAATCAATGTTGGCATCAAGCTGGAGAGGGCAGTGTAAGTCAGAGGGATGAATAGAGTGGAGGCTTACATTTCTAGCCGGCTCTGCAACCACAGTAGAAAAATGGTATTTTGCACCAGGTATGGCAGATTGATTACAATGATGGCAGTTAGAAGATGAGCAAGAACAATGAGTAGGAGCAGAATATGAATGAGGAGTACATTTAGTTTTATCCATGGTGTGGAAATGAGCTGGTGAAGCAGTGGAGGTGGATAATGGAGAAAGTCCAAAAAGTGCACAGAAAGGTCCAAAGGGTCCAAAAGAGTCCAAAAAAGCGGTCCAAAAGCGGTCTAGGAGGGTGCTAAGGCTTCCTAGTGCTGCTACAGGGTTACGCCTGTGTTCCCCTTTCAATACTACGCTGATATTAACAGAGAAATCGCCTTGAGACAGTGTTGGTTAAAAGGGCTTGTATATCAGTCAACAAAGTGACTTAAGCTCCCCAAACACTGCAGACTGAGAGAGGCTCTGGGCAACAGCAAACTGAGGCAATGCAGGCGAGCTTCACAGTCTATAGACAGAGCAGAGAAGATTGGAGCTTTATGCAAGCACCAGATATGCCAAAAAGCGAAAATATAGGCCAAAAAAATCAAAATTGTCACAGGGACAGATGGAGTGGATGGATTGCCCCCAAAATATAGGTGTGGAGAGCGATTATATGGTGCAATAGATAGGCCAAGTATGGCCAGAAACGAAGCACAGGGAGTGGAGGAGTATAATAGGGGTGGAAGTGGTGATCAGATAATGATAGGGGTTCACAGGGAGATCAAACTCAAAATCCACCACTCTGAGGAGTCTCTTAGGGTTTTCAAGGTCGTAGAAGACAAAGGTAGGAGTTTGTGGATGATCAGATAAGGATTGGGTGAGATATGGCACTGATAAGGCCAAAAAAGCGTCCAAAATGAGGTTCCAAGCAACAAAGGCTTATAGGGAGTGATCCAGATGGAAGCAAAGCAAACAGAGATGATAAAGAGGGTTATCAGAGACCCAGAAGACAATTTGCAAGAGGGATAAGCAGTAGGGTGCTTGGATGATGAGGTATGAAGTCAGGAAGATGGCTGGAGCACAGGGCTCATAACCTGTTCAATTGAGAACTTCTGGGAAGTGTCTAGCCACTTGCTGAGAGCTAACAGGGACAGAACTAGAGTCCAGTATGAGTAACTATATTATCAGAGAGTACAGAATGTGTACAGTACCTAGAGTCCAGTATGAGTAACTAAAGAATAGGAATACTGGACTCTGCAATACTAGTCCGAAGTTTTGTAAACAAAGGTAAACAAGTCAGCCACAAAGGCGAAATTATAGAATGCTCAGTGAATACTGAACAATACAGCAAAAAGAATAAAGAGGAAAGTGATCTAGAAAGAAGGGAAAATAGATAGCACAACTAGGTGCAGAATCACCAAAACTAACAGGGCCTTACTCCAAAGCAATGGCCTCCCAGATGGACCGCCCTCTAGCTCTGGCATTACCGAGGTAGGACCTTCTGCTGGTGTTGGTGAGCTGCAGGAATATGCTGTGGGTGAGGGCATGACGTCAGAAGGACATACCACTTGTTACAATAACACAATTTCTGGACATTTCTTTTCTTTTCATTCTCCGCTTTAACTTTGCACTTTAGCATTCGCACATGGCGCCACGCGGCATTTCCCCTTTTTGTTCTAACTCCTCTTTCTCGCGCCGCGTTGCCTTTTCTCTTATTTTAGATTCTACTCTCTCACGCAGTGGAGCTGGCCATACGGGCTAGGCCCTATGACATCATCAGCCACTGCCTCTATCAACTGTATAGCACATATGTACAAACAACCTGTAGTAGTATATATACCCCAATAAATCCAGGAGACTCCTCAGTGAGTCCTCCTGTTGTTAACCAACAAACTCTCTGCAGCTTAAGGGGTAACCACTCCCTCATCATCTTCCTTATAGTGTGTTTCTGTGTGCGCCAGAGTAACTAACTCTTGGTTGTTACACCGCTTCTGACCAGTTTTCCAATTCCAGTTTGACCGCTGCCATTGCTGCAGGTGTAGTAGCCATTCCCGCCATTCCCGAACATGGTTGGTCATACAATGCATTCTGGCATTACATTGATGCTCATTTGGAGAGCGCAAGGACTGCGTGTCGAGCTCAAGCTGGACCTTCGGCAGCTGCATAGGCTATGTGGTGGATGACTTTAAGCAGCAATGTGTATGCCAAAGATTTGAGGACCTCCCCGGACAACACTGGTACTTCAGTCACTACAGTCGCACGCAGCTGGCAGCTTACGATCGAGTAAAACTTAACACCATAACCGTATCAGTCAATCACATTTCTGTACTTGTACTTGTCCTTTCCAAGTTTCCTTTTGTTGAATATGTTTTGAAATTGAACAATGTATCAGTGTCTAGAACTTTGCAATGAATTATTGGTGTTGTTATAGCTGATGTCTTTGAGTCATATGCTATATATTATGTCTAAGCTGATAAAATACATGCGAGTGATATCTACTGGACAACATGATACAATATTCTTCTCTGGAAATCACTGCTAGCTGTCCCTACAACCTCCTTTGTATCTATGTAATACATTGGCTACACATTCGCTGTAAATATTGCCAAGGTTTCACTTCGTAACAACTCAGAACAAGCTGCCGAATCAGGGGGCAGGCAACGCAGACCTGGCTGTTCAAACGCTCACAGTCTACCACTTTAGGGCATATACAGCATTTAGCCACATTGCATTCACAGCCGGCTGTAATTAATTCAGTGATATGGTTTCTAGAGACTATCTCATTGCATTTCAAAAAAAATTACCACCATCAAAAATTGAACCAAAGGCCTTGTGGTCAGTTAATGATTTGAGTAGACAACTAAACCACTGAGCCACAAGATGAATAGAAATAATATTCAAGACATTTAAATAAATGTATAAAAGTACCTGTATACAAACTATACAAGTAGATTATTATGGTTTAGAGAAACTATACCTACTTGTTGGTTAGGATATGGTTATATAGCTCAGCAAGGTCTGTCATTGACTTCAGACTCATACGAGAGCAAAGTCGAGTGAGAATGAGGCTGTGAGGCAACGATAAACTATAACAAAAACAAAACCTGTCTCCTACTGCACTTGCAAGGAGTAAGAGGTTCAATGAGCTTGAGGTCAACAGATGCTAGTAAATATAGCAAGTAGAGGACTTTGGGAGTAAACTCAAGGGTTTCGGTTGAGGAGTAAAGCGGGTAAATTCAGTAATAGAAAACTAAAGAGCTATACATGCGATGTGTAGGGTTTATATAGCTAACCGTCCGTTCCTCAGACCGAAAGGAGAAATAGATGAAAAGTGGTCTGAGGAATAAATTGTCCAATAAGAAAAAGGGAACAACTATTGTACAACTTTTATCTTGATTAATCAGCGGGTGAGAGACTTGTACTAATAATAGAGGATTGTCACGCGTGTTCAGGAACCGTATCCTCATGATGAGGTACGATCCTAAATAAGGTGTTATTAGTATTTACCAGGCTTTTACTGGGGCTTGGAGCTGGTTGGCGAGATGCCTACTACCAGTCCCTACCCAGTGTGCTGGCTGGCTGGGAGTGATATCCAGTCTCTGATCTGTGATATAAAATGGTAGCGATGGTTAAGAAAGCCTGTGAGGGCTATGAGAAGTAAAATGGCAAAAGATACCTCTAGCCCTAGAGCCAGAGGTGTAACGGGAAAAGTGTTCGAGAACCAAGACATAACGAAGATAGGAAAATAATGAAATGGTCCTTACAATAGCGAAGGGACTTGCGTTGTGAATGATCCATTAGTCCACAACTCGAAAGGATCATAAGGATTTCCGACATCAATTCCGGGGAATGACCCAGACAAAGGCGGAAAACTGCATGTTGAGGTGAGTGTCTGTTGCATGTGCAAATTGGTGCTGACTGGCAATGCAACAGGAGGCTCTGATTGAGCAGTGGGTATGTCAGCATTGGGTGAATTGATTCCAGTTGTGTCAGCAACGAGTGGATTAGCGGTGCTCGTATCAGCAGCGGGTTTGTCAGCTACGGCTGTGGTATTTGTTGTTGCAGGACCTGTACTGACTGTGAATGTGTCAGTAACAGCCTCGTCTTTGCTGCTACTGTCAACTACAGCGGCACTTTTGTAAGTCTTTCCTTTTTTTGCCTTGTCATCGGCCTTCTGATTCTTTGCTCTCTTCTCACCTTTGTCAGAACGAGTCCGACGTTTCAGGACCTGAATATCACCAGATTCTATCTGGTGATCATGCTCTACGCTCAGTTCCTTAAACTCCTCGTCTGTGAGATTCTTCCAGTATGTAGCACCAGACTGCCATTTCCGAAGGAGCATCTCAAGGTCAGGTAGAGCACTGGAAATCCGGCTGAGATTGCCGAAAGGAATGTTTTCTGGCCAGCCTTCAATTTTGACTTGATAGCGTTGGATTATGTTCCGCCAGTACTGTGTCCATTGCATCTTTGCCTTCTGATCCCCGGAAATGGCACCTGTTTCTTGGTAAGTTTCACCACTGTATGTAGAAATACCAATGACTGACGAAGTGACATGTTGATCTCAGCTCGGATTGTGGCCCTTACTTCGGCAACATGCTGCTGATGGTTCTTCGCAGCACCTAGGGAGAGTGGTTGAGTTCACCCTGAGCATGATAACTCAATGGTAAAGCCTACCTGCGATGCCTTGAATTGCAAAACCCTCCATCTTACTAAGCAGGTCCTGATTGTTGATACCCATACAAGTTCTCATGAACGTTTCAATTCCCTCTGTTGAAAATGTAACCCCACGGAGGGGCAAATCTGTCGATCCACGGACCACATAAAGCATGACCTCGATGCCTGTCCGGCACCTTAAGCTTTCCAGCTAGTTCGGTAAGTAATCATGAATAAATATATGTTTGGTGCAACTAACCTCATTCTCAATTATCTTTAGGGTCTCTGTAACGTCGTTGATTCGAGACTTCGTTGTCATGCAAAATCCAGTCTTCTTTGTTTCTAAATGTGCTGAATACTCTACTAATAATTGTTTCTTTTCATCGTCTGATAGCGAATGATATTCTGCGGTATGAGCATGAAGAATGTTCTGTAGTGCCTTTGGACCAACACCCTCTAATTCATAATGGTGTGTATTAGTATCAGTATAGAACAGTAATTGTGAAATCACTTACTGTTCTCTCCACTGCACTCCTGACTCTTCTTCCAGCAGAACGCATTCCAACTATTGGCCTTCCTCTTTGAACACTGAAGAGAACGGTTCATATAAAGATCTTTTCGCACACATTGAATACTCTTGCTGTTTTCTGCAGCAATAGTGGCTGTTGACCTGTCAATTTGCTCCCAAGCTTCCTCAAGGTCGTTTTTGAACTTCTGAGAGCGCTCTCGTCGGATGGAAGTGAGGGCAGCTCGAGCTTCTTTGCTGAGCTTGACCTTCACACGAGGGGTGCTTCGAGCAAAGCCTTGGACTTTGGAGCGTTGTTTGGTCATAAAGACGTTGAGAACCATGCTATAGTGCTAGTTGATAAGTGGGTAGAACACCAAAGATTTGTTCTGTTCTCTATTCTGCTTTATATCCACCTGTTTTTGTGATTTCGTCGGAATAAGACTTACATGCACATCATGCATGCCCAATATCCGACTGAAGCATGTAATTAAGACATATAACAAGTAGTTTCTACATGTACAGCCAGCACACGTAAATAATACGTAGCAATACCAGAGTACCAATGATCTTCAATGCAAGTCCAAGTATTGATTGTGACTCATAGAGAGACATGTTGTACAGTCCGGCTATCAAACTCAACCTTGCAAAATTGTAACGTCAACAATTAATGGTTGACTATTCTATTACATGTAACATTATGCACAAATCAATCACTAACAACATCCTGCAGAAATTCCAAAACATCACGTGTCATTCGTTGTTGTTCCCTCCTTTCAGCTACACAACCATCAGTATGTTTGGTAGTTATCATCCTGTCAATTTCAAGATTATGCTCTTGGGCAGCTATAGTTTACATGTTATTATTTTTCATGGGAAAGACCAAGAAGGTGGCTCACCGACCTTCATCCATCGTGGCTAAAACTGTACCAGATACTGAGGGCCTTGAAACTTCTGACCGCACGCTGATGCCTATGCCACGCTGTCCTGAGAAGCCCGGTAAATTTTGAATCTGATTGAGCCGATGAATATGCAACATATTCACTGCATATCTTGATTGCCATCAACACTTCAGCTCAGCGGCAAGAGGTGGATTTGTCTCTGAGAGCTGTGTAATAGTCCTTGTGACCTCTATTTCTTCATCATGAATGGCTGTGCATAAACGACGACTCTCAACATTCAACCTCACAATTTTTTCACGAGTGGGGCACAGTTTGAAGTACCTCACTGCTGCAGCTCTATTTGCAGGTTTCATCCAAGAGCAATCAGAGATGTCAGCTCGTGAGTAACGAAGGAGATCAAACTCAGCCAAAAATGTGTAGTCTGCAACTTCCTTCCATGTTAACTTTGGGCGAGGAGGCTGGAGAAGCGTAGCCTGATTGTTGTAACATTTGATTGCACTTCAAATAGCCTCAGAGTGCCACTGCAATCCTTTGCTGATCTGTTGCTGAAGTTTATAGCCTAGCAAATGTTTCTGTAACCCGTAAAACGACACACAAATATATACCTGCTTACCTGTTCCAGACATTGACAACTTGGAAAGCTCAGTCAGTCGCATTACAACTGCACGCTTTAGAGCATCTAGAGCACTCCGATACTTTGCAAATGAAGCTCTTTCTTTGCGACAGTTATATTCAGAGCCACCTATTTCCCATCGCTTCTCTATGTTTAAAGAAACTTCCAAATTGGAAGTCTGTTTTTCTGCTGTTTGCAGAGCGGTATATGTAGTATTAACCCGGTTCCGAGCCCGTGATACATTTGTGTGGAGCTGATGGATGGGTCCACTCAGAATGCTAGAAAGAAGTGCATTCAGGGCCTTACGAGCATCCTCCCAGTCCTGGCTAGTACACATTATTACTATGAAGACAATCACTAAAAGAACGAAATACAGGCTTACTACCGTTGTGCATGATCATCTAATGCTTCAAGATAATGCCCCTCAAATTTGTCTTTCATAGGGAGTTGTTTGAATGACGCTAAATAGACCTGCTCGTCACGATAGAACCTTTCAAAATCGCTATCACAAAGATTCAGCGCTTTCTTTGATGCGTCCAACTCAACAGGAGACGACGAGGACAGCAGAACCGTTCGAGACGACAAGGAAACGAGCGGAAGGAAACAGTGTGTGAGGAGAGAGAAAGGAACGATGGAATGTCGACGACGGCAACGGAGGCACACAGACCAAAAAGGAACAAAAAAGCGTGGGATTCCACCACGCTAGCCAACGGCTATATGCGAAGGTCGGGGTCGGACAATAAGTTCGGAGCATACATGCCGACAATGCCGACCTGGATGAAATTGTGGACAGCCTAAGTCAAGTGGCGTATTTGGGGCAACATTTAACGCTGGTGTCGGAAATAGCCACAAGAGAGCTTAACTATAGTGTACGAGACATGTGATGGTACACTATAGTTAGGCTCTCTTGTTGGGCAACCCAGGTGACAAGAATTTGGAGAGCACAGCCTTACGTTAGAACCTAAATCGTCACAAATATATCTTGCGGGTTGGGCCGTGTAGGTGCCACGAACAAAGTACAGATAAGGTTTGTATTACTTCTGAATTGAAACGCGTGATGCTGAAACGAGATTTAGGCGTCATCTCTTGGACAAGCTGTCTCAGAGAAGGTGGAGACTAGCGAAGTAACCTTTCTTCAAAATATTGTCCAAACTCCGTGATAGTCCTTCATTCATGAGCTTTACATTTTGACTTGTACAGTGTAATATACCAGTCAACTTATCGTTGTTACAGGTATAGCCCACAGAAGGCAAATACAGACTGAGCTTTCTCAGCTGCTGGTATACATAGATGGTAGTGTAGGATTGGTGTAGTACTCAAATTCAAAGTTACGGTCTTAGCCTGTGACACTTGTTTAATGCCGGTCAGAATATGAGCACTACAGATCTGGGAGCCACGCAGTTTTATAAAGCATGATATTCCAAGGAGAAGGTAAACGAAGGTCAATACTACGGAATATGGCACTATTTGCCTTTACCCGCACTTTTGCCTTTACCCTTCCCAAATGATTTACCTTCAAACCCAGGTCTTGCTTTGCCCTTCGACTTTCCGACGCCTTTCTTCTTGTCATTCCTTCGCTCGTGACGGGTAGCAATATTATCCGCTCTCTTCTTTTGTTTCGCAGCCATAGAAGCCGAAAGCTGTTCCTTCCTCTCATCCCTATCAAAAAGAGATAAGCAGTGGAAGATAAGGATTGGACTTGAAATTACTAACCAGCCTTTCTTACTCTTCACTTTTTCCTTATCCTTCCTCTTAGCTGCCTTTTTCAGTCGACCTTCGTCGTCTTTTACCTTTACGCCCTCCAACCTTGCCTCAGCCTTGGCCCATTTGTCCTTTTCTTCGATCATTTTGCGCTTCTCTTCGGGTAGAGCGGCAAGTTTTTCTTTACGAGCTGCCAGCTGTTCCAGTGCCTGAGTAGGATTGGAGGATACTTTTAACTGCTGGGCCTTCTTGCTGGTCGATGATCCCGCAAGAGAGGAGAAAGCGATATTTGTCAAGTTTGAATGCGGGCCATGGGATGAACCTTGTCCTGCAGTTGGATCTGGAACAATAAGCTGGGTCTAAGTAGCAGAGAGAAGTCAGTTCGTGTCAGATAAGAGAAAAAAATACGATGTGGATACCTTTGTCGAAGGGCCATGATCGCGCTTGTCCTTATCTTTATTTTTGCCTTTGCCCTTCTTTTCAGCTTCCAAACGAATCCGCTCTTTTGTCTCCTTTCTGCGTCGCTCACGCAGTGCTGCACGCTGTCGCCGCCGCTCCTCTAACAATTCGTCCCTATCCCCAGCCTCTTCGCCCTCTTTTCGTGGACCACCACGGCGCAGCTCAGCGATTCGTGCGTGGAGTTTCTCCCTGAGCGACGTTATACCACCAGATGTGGGCATTGGGACGATGGTGTCTTCAGTGCCGGCAGGTGTGCCTTCTTCATCGGTGTCGATAGTAGCGTCGACTTGCATTCCATCAGAAGAAGCCCCACGGTCGTCGTCGGATTCTTCTTCATCTTCGTCGGATTCTGGCTCAGGTGCTTTGCGTTTGCCTTTGGCGGTACTCGATTGTTTTGCGGCCTCTTCGTTCTGGATATCAACGATAGATTTGTTGTTTGCTGGATCAAGCTTTAAAAAACGATTTATGAGAAGGATATCGCAAGTATAATGAGTAGAGACTGATAGACAATAGAGGCATACTTTATCGCGTTTGGCCTTCTTCGAGGCTTCCTTGATAGCTTGCTTAGGTGCCTTTTGTTTTCTGCTGTGTTGGTGGTACTTGGACTGAACCTAATCGTTGAAAATAGTTGTGGGAGGTCATTCTCAACAAAAATGAAGGGAAACAGTCGGACTATGCGCACCTGGTCGTTCGCTCCATCCTTGACGAGGTAATACTGGGGGGGGATCAGGCGCAATAAAGCCTCGAACGTATCATTGTGGGCTTCTAGCGATACCCTGAGTACGTCCGCTGAGGTTGGCATGGGCGTTGGCTGTAGCTGTAGTATTGTCTACTAAAATCTTTGAAATTTCAAAAGGTAGCAGCCACGGTGGGGAATACGACAGAGGTCGGGGTTAGGGTTTACCAATCAATTGAATAATGAGCGCAGTTCGGTCTGGTCCTTGGGAAAGCCCCTACAAGTTAAAGCTACAACATAAATTCTACAGGTTATCCTCAATCTCACACCAGAACTGAAACAAAAACAAAAGAACCTCGAGATGTCACTCAATGCTGAAGGTACCGATACTTCAAATAGGGATCAAGTACTACAGAACCAAGGAGAATCTACACATGTCCTTCGAAAGCACATATTAGTCCCAAACCAACTAGCAGCATTCCAGTCCTCAGACACGCACAAAGCTATCGTTTCTTACATAGAAACACTCAATGAGGCTGTCGTAGGCGCAAAGCTCACTGATCAGTGCTCAGAATCTCCTGTGCGTTGTTCACCGGTTTCTGTCGCTGATCGTTCACAATTGACACTTCCGTTGTGAATTGATTGGTTTCGGAAGAGCAGGGTGTAAAAGCAGTGATACATTTACTGGATCAGATCGAGAAAATAGCCAATGACACGCCCCCTGTCGAGAATAAGGCCTCGAGATTCGGCAATCCTGCGTTTAGGACTTTCTACGACAAAGTACAGGATGTATGCCTTCTAATATGCTCGATTCGCAGCATAACTGAAGTAAATGCATCTGGTAGTTAGCCCCTTCAATGCACGAAAACTTGCCAAACCTTCCCAGCCAAGACATCCCAGAAGTATCCGGTTATCTTATCGAAGCATGGGGAAATCGCACCCGCATCGACTATGGCAGTGGCATGGAGCTGAACTTTCTGTGTTGGCTGTATATCTCGCAATATCGAGCTATCTCTTACGTGTTTACTGACACGCTGTTATAGGATTTGTCTTGAACGTCTCAAAGTTGTCGAGGAAAGGGATCACATTGCACTTGTAATCAAAGTATTTTGGAGGTAAGCGATATAGCAGAAAGTCATCGGATTGGACTAAAATTATGTTACGTTGCAGATATCTGGAGATAATGAGGATTCTCCAGTCCACTTATTGGCTTGAACCTGCCGGCTCACATGGGGTCTGGGGCCTGGATGACTATCACTTCCTGCCCTTCTTGTTCGGCTCAGCTCAACTTCGAGGTAGGCAGAGTTTACAAGGTCATTACCCTGATAATTAAGTACATCCTCCTCCTTTAGGGCACAAGTTCGTTAGGCCGAAAGCCATACATGATGCGGAGATTGTTGACGAGTTGTCGAAGAATTATATGTACTTCTCTTGTATCAAATTTATCAACTCGGTTGGCAGCTTTTATGGAATTTTATAAAAGTTGTTTCCTCGCACTGACTGTTTTTATTTCAGATCAAAACAGCATCGTTGCGATGGCACTCTCCCATGTTAGATGATATCTCAGCGGTGAGTGTAGGCTACATGATATCCCTCAATCAGCCAATTAATTCTTACCAGGTGAAGACTTGGGAAAAAGTAAACTCGGGCATGATCAAGATGTATTTGGCTGAAGTACTGGGCAAGCTGCCTGTAATCCAGCATTTCCTTTTTGGTTCTATTCTTCCATACGATGGACCCTCAAATGTATTTAACGCCATCAATCCTGAAGACCCCCACTGGGGGCATGCACACGCCCACTCCGAACTGGAGGCTAAAAGCGGATGGGGCGATTGTTGTGGTATACCGGTACCAAGTGCGTTCGCTGCAGCTAGGGCGGAGCAGGAGAAGGGTCAGCCTGGGACCAGGCTTACAGGCCCTGGAATTCGACCCGTACCATTCGATTAATGAGAAGGACCAAACAGCATAGTTCTTATTTCTAGTTTATCACAGCAATATACTGTACATTTTTGTTATCGTGACCTTGTCTCAAGGAATATTCATATTCTTTCTCTCGTTCTTATGACCCACGATGTCTTTGATGAGCCCTTTACAGATGTCTACCATTGCTTTTCGGCTTTCCCAAAGAGGGAGAATAGAGGTGATGCTGGCGGCGAGAAAGAGCCATACTACAGATATAATGACCCAGGCTTTGAAAAAATAGAGGGAAAAAATGTAGCGCGACAGGAACATCGGGATGGGAATTAGCTATGGAAGAAAAGAGCCAATTAGATTTCTCAAGGAACAGCAAACTTAACTCACGAAAATGATGATGAAGGACATAGTGAGGGCAGCCAAAATGGCTACTTTCAAGGAACCTTCGAGTACAGCATAATCCTCTAACTCAGTACTCTCCGATGCCTCATCGCTGACAGGCAAGGTTTGAGTTTCAGCAGGTACCTGTTCTTTTCTTTCAGAGTCTTGATCATGATGTGTAGGGGACGGGATGCCATTAACATGGTGTAAAGTGAGAGTGTCCGACATAACCCCTCGAGCCAATGTGCGACCTCCGGGATTAATTTTTCGAGTTTCTGACCAATTGAATCTATTGTCTGGCTTGAACAGCGTCACGACGATTGAAATGATCGGTCCCGAACAAAACGAGCCTAAATTTCCCGCTAGCATCGAGTATGGTTCACCTGCCAAAATCCATCTAATGAGTGATTGCATGATCACGACAACAAAAAACGGCACAGACCAGTCGTTTCTATGGTCAAAGCGCCAAAATACATCTTAGCAACAAGAAGCCAGCATGACAGACCAATGCTGAGACCACCCAGGGCTCCACTAACTGCTGCAGCGCAAGTCTGTTTTCGCCATATAACAGTTAGAACTACGGGGCCTACAGCACCTGTGGTGATGGTGCCGATGAACAGGAAGAGCCAGTTAAGCGAAAGGCCGATGCCGTTCCATAGGCAAGCGGTGCATGACATAACTATGGCCCAAACACACACCATGATATGCGAGATTCGTATCAGAGACTCAGGGGATGCCTAGTAAACGAGTTGTTATATTGGCTGGCTCAAGCAAGTGAAATGTATGCGTACGTCCGGCTTGAAATGGATTTGGTAGATGTCAAACGTCAGGATGGATGATGTCGCTATCATTTCGGAGGATGCTGCAGAGGTCACTGCCATGAACAGGAGGATCAACTACAATCACTATTACATTCAGATATTGCATGCGAATAAGAACCACACTGACCATAGCAACTGCACCTTCTTTACCAAGTAAACTGACTACTCCGGCAGGAGCAGCAAGTCCAGCGTTGATCTGGGCAGTGGAAAGACCGCCAGGATATGGGAAAGTCGGACCTTTGTGTGGTATCATTTACTGTCTGAATTCGTCATATACATTACTGCTCACTGTTCGTTAAGGCTACGGCGGCCAACCCCATGCTCGTGGAGAAAGTCATGGGTACAGCAAACCAAGCAATGCCACCCATCAAATACGCACGTACAGCTGTTTCAGCCTTGGACGCTATGGCGCGTTGCCAGTATCCCTGGCACAATTTTGATATTGATATTCAAGAATATAATGCATTCAACACTTACTTGGTCTAACATACAATTGCCGAATGAGCTAGTGATCTGGATAATCATGAATACAAGACCATCTAGAAGGATGAAATTATCCATCTTTCGGTGGGAAAGGGAAGATGCTCACAGTTAGATTTCATTGTTAAGAAGGAGCCATTCTGGTTTCCTGCCACTGGCCGATCTACACTGGCACGCTGGAGAAGTTCATACATGCCGTCTAGGCCACCGACTAAATGCGCCTCTGTGTACGTGTAGAAGAAAAAATAAAAGATGACGATCATAAGAATGCAGGTGTGTGTATAATCACCTATGAGACAATTAAATTACTTTTAAAAGTGTAAGAGTAAACACTTACAAAGAAATGTCGCCCGAAGACCGCCAAGAACTACATAGGCGACCACCCCAAGAGGGATAAGAAAATTGGCTTCGTAAATATTCATTCCAGTGAAGGCATTGACGACGGCGCTCCCACCCACAAGTAGCATACTTGACGCGATGAGGTTTGTAGTTAAAGCAAACGATGCAAAGACAAAATGGGCTAGATTCCCATAACGAGCATGAACAATCTCGAGGTAGGTATGGCAATAAGGCGCAATCATCTTTACTCGTACAGCAAGAATGGCCATCAAGAAGATTTGAAGCGTTGCTCCTGCTGCGTAGAAATAGCCCCCTGAGATGCCATACTCATATGTCACTGTCGAGCTCTGCAGCAGCGTTGCTGCCCAGGTCCAAGCAGAAATGATTCCGGATGCTATCAAGCCAGGTTTGACGGCACGGGAAGCAGTATTAAATTCTTCGGGTGTCGCGAGTTTGTAGCTGGTGTAGCGGTGCTGCAGAGTGGAAAGGGCCATCATAATCACAGCAAAAAAAAAACCGATTCCAAGGACAACAACATAGCCAATGGCCAGGGAGAGGACTTGTGCTCCTTCAGAGCTGGCCATTAAAACGATTATGAGCTAGTCGCAAGGTTGGTGGTACCGACTTGATACAGACGTACTCATAATGACGCTTGATAAGGCACAACTTGCGGTTCCGCAAAGATAACACAGATATTCTTGTGGATATGTTACTACAAGCGGATGTTTTGCTTAAAAACATACGAAGATATCTTTAGTCACGGAATAAGTGAGAAGGTCACAGGTCTTGATAACTGAGAAAGATAAGTACCAATAGGTTATCTAAGGGGTTTTTTTTTCAAATTTCCAGGACGTTAACGCCAGGTGATACGCTATTAATGAAAAGTTAGGCACTCTAGCTACGCCTTATTCTGAAAGCTTGTTCTATGAGTCCTTTCTGACAAAAAAAAAACGTAAATAGATGTGACCGAAGCAGACTGCACACCTATCCACACTATATGCATTATGCATAGTGGGGACTCTTCAAGTTCTAGATGGACAATGAGGATGTTTTCGAAATCCCTCTGGAACTGAGGACAAGAATAGTAAGAAATTACTGAATGCACGACGTGATTCAAGACTAAAAGGTACAAGCTAAGATGATAAGCAAACGTTGTAGGCAGTACTGATAGTAGGCGGCCCTATGCGTTCATCATGAAGTTCAACTTTTCATTAGACTCAGACAAGTGCGGGGTTTCTGGATCGGGAAATTGCGGACTGGGAAAAGTCTGGCGAATTACTGCACGTCTGTGCCAATTTTCCTTTCCTTAAGTCGGGACGTCAGACGAGATGAAAACCGACATTCAATGACATCCCACACCGAACCGCAAACTCACGTGGTCAGCGAACAGAACGACGTCAGGCAAGATGAAGCCGACGTCCAATGACATCCTACATCAAACCGCAAACTCACGCAGTTAGGGAACAGAACGGCGTCAGACGAGATGAAGCCGATGTCCAATGACATCCCACATTGAACCGCAAATTCACGCAGTCAGAGAACAGAACGGCGAGGAAGTTACCGATGTCATGCACCAAAGTTGATTGGTAGCATGGACAGGTGTCAATAACAAAGCGAATATTCAAAAAGACTCGCCTTTGCGCCACACAGGCACAGTGCCACGTGGAATAGTAATTAATATTGCCTGTTTTGAACTTGTGGCTGATCAGCACCACCTCTATTAGGCAATCCAGTCACGCTCACCTTTGCTTTTCCATTCGGTACTTTCCGCGTCTCGGCATTTCGGCAAATTTTCGCGTCGCCACTGGCTACACATTGCATTGCGCCCTCGCTTTTGTCGTTTCCCTTACTCCCCTTCCTTTGCCTAGCCCCACCATGGGCCCCTTCCTCTCCTTTTTATTCTCACCTGACAGTCGTTTCTGGATCCCCATTCTAATCCACTTTTCCGTCACCTCCACCCTCCTCCTCCTCATTTTATTTGCACCCCCACCATTTCTGATGTCACCACTTCCTATCCGCTTCCGTCGCCGATCCGTTGACTACCACGTGCCACTGCTGATATCAGCAAAGCCCCGGCGGCCGGTTCAAATAGGGCAACAGGTCCATCTTCATGACGTCGATCTACCATCATATACTATCAAAACATCGGTCGCTCGTCTTGCCTGGTTGGAGCATGGGTGGGTAGTTTTTGAGCTGGAGAAGGTTCATCCCCTTGCGTCGCCCATGTTCATTGCTGTCCCATTCACTTGGGTACACTTATCTTTTGTCCATCGTCTTTGCTACAGCTACACCTACCACACGCTGCCTGGGACTCACTTGTTCCAAATTGGAACTACTCCTCTCCCTCCCTCATTTGATCAGGTGGTCCAACACAACCAGTCCATTGGTAAGGCCATGGAACTGTCGGATTTGGACTAGGTGGTGGACCGGTGGCTCCAGTTTCTTTTTCTTCAGCAGAACATTCATTTACAGTGCGATTATTTTTGATTTTTGAATCATTTTTATGGACACATATTTTTTTAGAATGTCTGACTGATAATAAAGGAACTGTGTTGATACTGATAGTGTTTTGCCTTGCCCTTTTTTTACTGCATCTTCCCATGACATCATGATTTTCCTGCTCTCTTTTTGCTATTGGACTTTACTTTATGGCTGTACAAACCTGTGACATTACTCACAGCATTTATTCTTCTATCCCTTTCTTTTCCTTTTTTTGACAATCTTATCCTGTACTACCTACGCAGGATTCATCAGCGTACATTCCTTCCTTCATATTCTTTCTCATTCTTTTTGCACAGCTATACTGTGCATAGCCTACTTTTCTTTTACTATATAAACCCCTGTATTTTACCTTGTAAAAGAAGGAACAAGAAATCCAATCCAGACTTCTTCTCTACTCTCAAGTTCACTACTCTACTACTTGTGATCCAGTGTGGTCACAACACTTCCCACTTCTACCACTGTTAACTGCTGTCATCGTCACTCGTCACTTTTTGAAAGTGATTGTCATCCCCTTCGATTAGAGTCCTTCTGAGCACTACAGTTTGTGCGTCAGGAGCCTGCTATCACTGGGAACCTTATCATATTGTCGTTCTCAAACCTACCTTGTGCTACGATTAGCAAGGTAGTGCTCGTCTATACTCGTCACAAACCCCCTATCTTTCTATAAGTTCAACTATCCCTCCTCCTCAAAACCCACACTCATACACCACTGGGTTTTACTTTGAAGGATCCTCATATATACCACCCCATGAACAACCAGAGCACCCACTGTTCTAGGAGGCAAAGTGTTACGATTTGTCTATCTATATTACGGACTACTCATTTCTCTTTACTCATCGGTTATACCATCGGACCGATGACTCACATCCCTCACATACACTTCCGCTCCTCTCGCATTTCTATTACCTTGTATAGTACTCAGTCCTCAACGGACAGACCTACCCTAGATAGGACGTAACTCCTATCGCCGACTTACTTCTCTATAAATACGCTTGTAACAGTAGTAGTATTCTCCAATACGATTCTACGCAGTTCACGCTTACAAAGCTAGAACTTCCAAGATCAGACTTCCATACGGAAGAAGACCAACAACCATTGGAATCCCTCTATTCAGAATTACATCCTCGAACTTGTCTTCGGATAAGTCTCTTTGAACAAACCCGACGAACCCTCAGACTTTGTTAAGCACTTTGTGCGTAACAAAAGAATCGTATTCCATACCAGAAGTCCCACCTATTTAGGTTTGGGAAGAAAAAGCCGACAATACGTCGCAACGACCAAGAACCAGATCTCAGAGAGCAGGAAGAAGCTCAGACGATTTACAGACACAGACAGCAACACCCCCGACATCGTCCAGACAAGGAAGGATAGCAGCACCACCCCCCTTCCCTCAACCAGACATCACCCGACTCCACACCAGAGAACAGGCAGACGCATTCTACGAAGCCAGAACATGTTGGCTACAGTTCTACGCGGAAAGTCATCCACAACTAATCCCCAGAACACAACACGATCCTCCAGTAACCACAGAAAACATCTACAACGAAGACGACTTCGAAGAATACGCAGCAGAAGGTGAACCAATACACCTTCCCACACCACAGATACTCCCCACCGCACCCAACCCATCTCCTACCCCACCTACCTACACCATGTCAAACGCTACGACACCCAAACCCACTATGATTGGGAAAATCGACGACTTTGATGGGACTCCAGACAAGGCCCAAAGATGGATATCGTCCACTGACTTACACTTTGACATCAACGACACCATTTATACCTCGGACAAGAAAAAGGTGTACGTAGCTCTCAGCTACATGAAGGACGGAACCGCCGCCTCATGGAGTGAAGCCAAGATGACCGAATACAAAGACAAGAACGCCTACCCCACATGGGCAGAATTTATGAAAACATTCACAGCCAGTTTCAGAACAGCAAATGTCAAAGGAACGGCTTCGGCCGCCTTGATGAAAATGAGGATGGAACCAGGAGAAAATGCAGTGGCATTCAACTCGAGGTTTATGCTAGATGCCGGGAAAAGCGGCATCAACAACAAAGCCATGATCATGGTTTATCAAAAAGCAATCCGACCCCCCCTCCTCCGCGGAGCACTCACCGGAAAGGAACTGGTCACCATTGAAGACTGGATGAACACGGTGGCCAACCTAGATGCCAACTGGATCAGTGCAAACGCCATCTCGGAAGGAACGTGGGGGACCAGAAACAAAGAAAGACAGTACGACAAAAATCGCAAAAGTGGACCATCCACCAGCGTGAAAAGGCTGACCAAAGACGAAGAAGAAACCAGGAGGAAGGAAGGAAGGTGCTTCATATGCAACGAAAAAGGACACATCGGGAGGAATTGCAGGAACAAAGGAAAGACTCCCAAAAGAAAGGTACGTCAAACCGAAACTGAAGATGACGTCAAGACAGTGGTAGAAGAAGACAAGGTCCAAAACATCATGAGGATGTGGAAGGAGTTGGGAGAAGACCAAAGAGCTGAGGCGATGAAAGAATTAGAAGACGAGGGTTTTTGAAACGACGGACTACCCCGATGTTAGTACCGTCGAAAATGGCAACTGTAACAATAGCAACGATCAATGCCAACTCTTTACGAATTGATTGCTCGTTAAAACAGAAAACCATCGGAACCAAAGCCCTGATAGATTCAGGAGCTACGGACGACTTCATGGACACAAAATTCGCCATTAAAAACCGACTCCCCCTCCGAAAACTCCCGATCCCTATAACATGTAAAAACGTTGATGGAACCACGAACAAAAACGGAAAAATTACGCATTGCACCTATCAGAGAATAGACGCAGGAGGACAAAACAGGTTTACGAAGTTTCTATTAACTGGACTGGACAGAGAAGACGTATTGCTAGGCTTCCCCTGGTTGCAAAAAGTCAACCCGGTCATTAACTGGAAAGACAAAGAATTACCGTACTCAGACAAACACTCAATCAGGACAAACCAAACTACCACGGAAACAAAAATCAGGACAACCACAGTAGACGAGGACGAGTACGAAACCATTCACAGATACGTATCCGACCGCACACCCTATCCTCGAACCACGATCCGGTTAAAAGTCAACTCGGCAATGGAACACGCGCAAATACACGGAGAAAGAAAAGAAAAACATATCCTCCCAGATGAATATAAGGGCTATTCAGACGTCTTTGACAAGAAGAAATCGAAAAGACTCCCCAAGCGACGGGAATATGATCATGTAATCAACATGAAACCGGAATTTGTATACGTGAAAGGATGCGCAACTTGCCAGCAAGCCAAAGTAAACACGCATCCGACCACGGTACCGTTGATCCCGAATCAAACACCGAAGACCAGTGAACCGATGAAGTATCTCTCGGTGGATTTCATTACAGACTTACCCGAGTCTATAGGGTATGACAGTATAATGGTCGTGGTAGACCAAGGACTTAGTAAGGGGGTAATCCTCTCACCTTGCCACAAAACCATCGACGCACTCAAAACTGCACAAATCTTCCATGACTCTGTCTTCAAACGGTTTGGACTACACGACAAAATCATATCCAACACAGGCCCACAATTCGCCTCTGAAGTATCAAAAGAACTCCACAAACTCCTAAACATCGAAACTGCACTCTCCACGGCATACCATCCACAGACTGACGGACAAACAGAACGATCCAATCAAGAACTAGAGATCTACCTCCGCATCTTTTGCCAGAATCAACCACACAGTTGGGCAAAATACCTTACGACGGCCGAATTCTGCCACAACCAACGGCCACACTCCACGAATAACCAATCGCCATTCTACCTCCTCATGGGATACGAACCCCGAGGAATCCCGACTAAACACCGATCCACAAACATCCCGTCAGTAGAAAAACGATTATCCGAACTACTTAGGGCAAGAGAGAACGCTCTAAAAGCACACGAACTAACGAGAAGCAAGATGATGAAACGAACGAACGGAAAGTTCACCAGATTCTCAGAAGGACAAAAGGTGTGGTTAGAAAACACCAACCTGCGGGAAAAAGCCACCGAACACAAGAAGTTCAACATGAAACGCATCGGACCTTTCCGCATCCAAGAAAAGATCTCTCCGGTAAACTACCGATTATCGTTACCTCCCCATTGGAGGATACACAACGTTTTCCACGCATCCCTCTTAACCCCGTATACCGAAACCGACACTCACAGACCGAACTTTATCCAACCACCACCTGACCTTATCAACGAAGAAGAAGAATACGAAGTAGAAAGTATTCTTAGACACAAACCCTGGAAACGCGGACGCCGTTACCTGATCAAATAGTGCCATTACCCTCATTCTGAAAACTCATGGGAACCAGAAGAACACCTGACCAATGCTGCGGAGATACTGGAAGCCTATAAGAGAGATCACAAACTGCGTTGAAGAGACAACCACCCCCACCACCACCAATCCTCTGTCTCTCAAAACACACAACATGTCTACTTCTCACTCTACCGGCTTCCCCATCACCACCTACTCTGTACCCGGCGAAGCCAACATGCTAGCCGACAAACGAGTGTCCTTTGCCCGAGGGCAACGACACAACCAGGCTGACGTCTCTGACGCCATAGAATTAATGTCAGCCAAAAACGCCCACGTCTATCTATTTCGTGAAACAGAAAAACGCTATCCCGATGCGTACCACGCTCTTTCTTCCCTATATACCTTCCTTAACATAGACCTCGTGGCTGACGAACTCCTAAAAGCCATAGGCTCACTACATTCGTTGGAAAACGAGCATTCGCGGCACAACAATCAGGACTCGAGTATCTGTCGGGCACTCCGGATGGAAAAGTTAGTTTTGGAATCTTTGGAACGACGCTTGAGGATGAACTCCTTGAGTGGGCAGACGGACGCGGCAAAGGCATATTTGGAATTAGGCGGGAAGATCTTGCTAACCGAAGCGCGCACGCGGATAGAGCGAGACGGCTATACGAGTACTCCTCCACCCGGTTTGTCCCGCCGGTCCCCATTACACCCAGATCAGATCAGTGTTACCCCGGAGCTCACCTACCCCACCGCTACCCCACAACCTCCGCCCACCCAGTTAGCGGAAAAATACATTCCCACCGTCCCAACCAGCCCGACCTCACAAGGGTCGAACCCCTCCAGTCCCCGTTCCACTGGGTCGAACCCAGAACCACTACCACCGCAGTCACCTCTGCCTCGACCGGTACCAAACGCCCAAACCCGTCGCCTGACGAAACGACGAGGAGCCCGACTAGGCCGACAAGAAGTGATACTCCAGATCCCCGCCGTCAGAACTCCATCGAATCGGCAATCTCATACGTCGAAGAGTCCGAAAGACAGTCCGCCTGGTGTAACGCACAGGCCTGAGACCGGCTCCCCTTCCAATCCAATCAACGTAGATGACGCCGACATGATCGACCAATTGTACGCGGGAACGTACAACCTGGGAGATGACAATCCCCCCACTCCCAAATCCGACACCTCGTCCAATACCCGACAAAAGTACCACCAAGGTGTTCGCGACAACGCTCCTTACTGTCAAAACTGCGGTTGGAGTGATCATCGTACATATTACTGCAAAGCTTACTACTGCCCCGACTGCGATAGACGCGCACCAGGGCATAGTTTCAATTGGTGCCCTATTCGTAGGGAAAACGAAGACAGGATTCTGATGGAGGGATTACATGGAGATGTCAGCTACGACGACAGCTACAACATGGATGGCGAGGGTACCAAATTTCGGTGAAATTTGAAGCAAGTAAGGGGGTAATGTTACGATTTGTCTATCTATATTACGGACTACTCATTTCTCTTTACTCATCGGTTATACCATCGGACCGATGACTCACATCCCTCACGTACACTTCCGCTCCTCTCGCATTTCTATTACTTTGTATAGTACTCAGTCCTCAACGGACAGACCTACCCTAGATAGGACGTAACTCCTATCGCCGACTTACTTCTCTATAAATACGCTTGTAACAGTAGTAGTATTCTCCAATACGATTCTACGCAGTTCAAGCTTACAAAGCTAGAACTTCCAAGATCAGACTTCCATACGGAAGAAGACCAACAACCGTTGGAATCCCTCTATTCAGAATTACATCCTCGAACTTGTCTTCGGATAAGTCTCTTTGAACAAACCCGACGAACCCTCAGACTTTGTTAAGCACTTTGTGCGTAACACAAAGCCCATAAACAAGTTCCGTGGAATCTGGGAGGATTGTGTGTTAGTTTGTTTTTGTGTGTGGTTTTCTAACAACAGTTCTCATCATCGACACCGATCACAGAGACGAGTTACTGCATTGCAGTCTTGTTCTTGATAAACCGTGCCAACAAAACGGTGTACATTGCAGTGCAACTGTATCGGGGAGCTGTGAATATGCCTAGGCCTTCACCTGAACACCATGATGTTTACAGCGTGGGTACCCATCATAAGCTATCTATTTATTTGATGTCAAAAGAGCCTGAATCCTTCTGTGAAAATTTTCACCTCGTTTCGCAGTAGGAGTCCACTTTCCCAAAAATCACACTTTTGAAACACCTCAACAACCGAGCTTCATGCCGTCCAGTATCAACGTCACAGAGTTGCTTAATCCGTATACACCAATGGCTTTTTTGCCACCAGACCTCGCTTTTCAGGAGCAAACCTCAAGTTATGTTCTTGTCGGTGCAGCTGGTGTCAGTCTCTCAGTTGATCAAGCACTTTTGTGACTTTTCTGATCTCTCACCGTCTGTTAGGCCATGGTTTGGGATATACTTACAAATATAAATAGTGACTATAAGCTTCTGTTCAAACAGAGGATTGGTCTGCCTACCATTGTATATTTTATTTCCAGGTATGGTGGGACCTCGAGACATACTTATCTTATTATTCTGACTCCAAACAGAATTGCAGCACTCTTCTACGTTCTGATAAGCACCATCTTTGATTGCCAGTATCTAGATTTTTGACACTTTATTGAGGCTGATAGTTTGCGATAGCTGCTCCTGTGGGCCGCTGCAGTATATATCAAGGAGCAATCAATGTCTCATATCCCATCACTGTTCCTGCCACATCATTACTGTTTTTCTTCCGCATTCGTGCAATATTCACTGGGAACAACTATATCATCTCGTTTTTCTTTGCCTTGTGGCTGGCAGTTCTTGGAGGTTCATTAACTCTTCTCAAGGGTGTCCGGGCTAGCACCATTGGCCCAACTCAGTACTGTATTAACTCTGTTATAGAGCCTTACGTTGGGGCTACTGTTATTATGCCTCTTGTTCACGACACGCTCGTGTTTCTTGCCATTTCATGGTGTCTCGTCTCAAATAGCCATATCAATTATAATGCCACAAGTCGGTGGAAGGCACTATCTGGCCACTACCTTCCTAACTTCTCAAAATCCCTCTTGCGAGATGGCCAACTGTACTATTTGTGAGTAGCAAGTTGTCAATCCATTGTTGTGTAAATGGTACTCAGACTTGGCCTTGATCAGGATCACTGTGGGCGGTAATCTATTGACCACCATTATGGTCTTTGTTCCCTCAGTTTCCGTGCCTTATCGCACAATGTTCACCGTTCCTAATGTGATGTTGACCAATGCCATGGCCTGTCATGTCTTTCGAAGCACCAAAATTGACCTCATCAGAGGTTCAGCGTACAGGGAAGATTCAAACCGCAGCACCCTTCCACTGGCATTCAGAGGTCCCACTCTTCACAGTAATGTGGTGGACCCAACCCACACACTGGATTTTGCTTTGACAGATGTGCAAGCCAAAACGACTGGGCGCATAATGCCCACAGATTCAGCATCGACCTCAAAGGCACTATCTCCAATATAAATACTGATACCGACTTACTGACTGGTGTATGCCCGTATTAGTATACGTAAAAAAGAATGGCTACCAATTATGAATATATTGATCGTAGAGTAAATTTCTTATCTGTGAACAATGCCAATGTGAGAGGCGAAAGACTCATCATCTACGCATTTTTTTTCTTCTGGTCGCAACTCACGATTGTACAGTACGCTAATACTTACAAGTGACCAGATCAGTTGAACTCCATCGTGACGGTGGCGTTTACGGAGCCGCGACGGCGTAAAACCGTGAACACCACTGGCAATAACTTGAAGCCACGGTCTACTTTCTCAAGTCTGATCTTCGTCTTATCTCTAGCTTTACAGTTTACGAAGGCTCAAGGATTCTGCGATGTGAAGACAGCCTGGACTACGAACTTGACTGGGTATCGTGACGCGATTGTCGGAGCATTCGTCCAAAACTTCCATCATGGACCTTGACGGCGTTCCATTGGCATTTCCTCTACGAGCTGAGTATCACAAAGGTCAGGTTCCTATCATAACAGTAACACCTTACTTACGAAACCTTGGCTCCAATTACTCCGTGGTATCCAAATGAGAATCCGAGCAAACTATTTTTTGCAATATTCTGTATCGTGACCTCTAAGGCGTCTAATCTGCGTTCTTTTGGTGTACACGGGGTGTCACCAGACAGTCATACGTGATCTCTCGTTGTCAGCTTTCCTCCGCACTCAAAAAACCATGAAGACTCACTTTTCTGTGCTTTGCTAATATCTGTTCTTCGCGTCCCTTGCCACTATCGAGGTGAAATGAAGTCTGCATCCGAACCTACTCGCGAACCCGACTCAGCGATAGACGAAAAGCTTCATATTGATGGCAGAGAAGTCGCGATTGAACACACTTCCTCAGATTTTGATGCAGAAGTAGCAAGCAAGACGCTATCACTCCGAGGTTTCTGGTTGAAGGCTGCTTTGACTTTCGTTTCTGGGACTGGTTTTGCACTCTTCGGGTAAGCCTTTCTCTATCGTTAAATACTTGCATACATCAACTTCAGAAGGTACGATGAGGGTGTCATGTCAGCTCTGCTTACAGCTGGGCAGGTAGGTTGTATACTTTCCCCCTTTCAGTGCAGTACTGAGATGAAATTAATTAAGTTCGAGAAAATGTTCCCAGAGGTCGTTGTAGATGCGAGTCATCCTAACCATGCAACGCTGCAGAGTCTTGTCGCGGCCATTTATGTGAGTTTTATTTTCGACCGGTTTTCATTCACGGTAACACCTTTCCAGGAAGTTGGATGCCTGGTTGGCGCCTTATCGAATTTATGGATTGGGGATCGCCTCGGTCGTCGGAAAACTATTGCTCTGGGAGGGACTATAATGATAATAGGTGCCATCTTACAGACCGCTTCATACAGCTATGCACAACTTGTTGTTGCTCGTATTATCACTGGATTGGGTAATGGCTTGAATGTCTGTGCATTTACATAATTCCTGTGCTGTGGTAACTGATACGGCCACACTCGCAGACTTCAACGGTACCAACATACCAAGCGGAGTGCTCTCCATCAGGACAACGGGGCGGTTTCATCATGCTTCAAGGAAGTCTCGTTACTTTCGGTGTTACGATTTCGTGAGTTTGTACCTCATTATTAGTCAGGAGGAATACTCACCAGTTGCTAATAAAGCTACGTGAGTAAACTGAACATTACTTTTAAAGCGGTACCTACTGACTGCAATGTGAAAAGTGGTTAGATCTTGCCTTGTAAGCCTTTTGTCTTACCACCTGTCATAGTGGAGTCACCCCAGCGTGATGCAGGTATTCAAAGTCTAATTCGTCCGCTCAATGGCGAGTCCCGATATCAATCCAAATTGTATTCGCCCTGATTATGGTTGTGTCAATCGGTTTTGTACGTCAGGTCATTCTATTTGCATGTTCACCCTAACACTTTGCGTTAAATCATATAGCTCCCCGAGTCGCCAAGGTGGTATGTCATAAGTAGTAATATTTACACCTTCGCTCTTTTGACACGGACCTAGGTTGATGAAACACGGGCATGAGGCAGAAGCCATGGCCGTTATATCAGCGTTCGAAGACAAGCCACCTTCCGATCCTGGTGTTCAACTCACATTCCATGCAATTCGCGAAGCAGTAGAGAAGGAAGGGCGGGTAACTCCACCTACAAACCACAAAATCTCGGAGCATAAGACTGCAATTGACAAGGGAGGGGATAATGTTTCGCTCAAAGAACTTTTCGGCGGAGGTCGAAGTCAAAACGCGCGAAGAGTAGTTTTAGCCTTTACGTCCCAATGTTTTCAACAAATTACAGGGATCAACGTGGTGATATTGTACGTTACTCGCCACTGGTTTACTAAATCGTTACTGACAAAATCTGCAATATAGCTACGCTGTAAGTATTCTTATTCTTATACCTCAGACTATTGTGATAGAACTAGACCCCATTAGACCATCTTATTTCAAAATTTAGGCCTATCTGATGTCGATTCACGCATAGTCGCTGCCTCTATGGGAACCCAATACTTTTTATTCTCGTTACTCGCCATCGCTCTTATTGATCGAGTGGGGCGACGACGACTTATGCTCTTTGGGGCAAGTGGTCTTTGCATTGTGATGTTGTTGCTAGGCGTACTGGGAAGTATAGCTAATAAGGCAGCAAACACTGCGGGTGTCGTGCTGATATTTATATACTTGGACATATTTTCACTTGGATGGCTTGGAATGACTTGGTTGTATGTGAGTATGAGATCCTTGTCCAAGGCCTTGTGCTAACGACCTCTTTATTAGCCTGCAGAAATCTCTGGCTTGAGAATAAGAGCACAGTCAACGTCGTTGTCAACTGGTAGGTGTGAGATACCAAGTTTAATGGTCATGAATACTCACGAGGGAGTAGCATCGAATTGGATATTCAACTTCGTTGTGGTGATGGTAACCGGGCCTTCCTTCAACAACATAAGCTGGAGAACCTACATAGGTTGGTTGGCATGGGTCTGAGACAATATCAAATCTGACTCTTTCTCCCCGTTGCGAAGTGTTCGCTGCGCTCAACGCATTTATAGTACCATGTGTGTACTTCTTCTTTCCCGAGACCTCCGGCCGCTCTCTCGAAGGTAATTTAGCATTCTCAGATACGATTCTCCGATATTGACGGAATGGTATTGTACAGACGTCGACGTTATATTTGCTTTAGCTCACAACGAAGGTGTCTCACCTGTCACCGTATCCTTGCGAAAAGATGTCCCCCTCGCAGGGACTCCCGAGGCAGACAGGATATTGGGCATCGAACCTAGAACCACTCGGAATGGAGTCGAATGATAGATACATGCGCGATGTTTCTCACCAATTTCTTAAACCATAAACGAGCAATTCGAGGACTTGGCTCAATTTTCGGTACAGACCAAGCGTTCATACTTTGAGAATTATATGGCTTCAGAAATGCTGTAGACGTATCTTTTCTACAAAGGCATTCACAATGTCAGAAATATCAGTTCATGCACAACTCTCGGCTTGATTTTTGCACAATGATCGGCGGACAATACTCTGTATGTTCCGATTGGAATCCACAGCCAGAAGGTATCATGCTATTTGCGAAAAGCCCGGCGTATCTTTCGACAGTCTGGCAGTGGACTCATATGCCGTAGTGTCTTGGTGAGTGTCACCAATGATAGAAGATAGATAAGTAACTCATGTATCTCCATGACTCGGCCATGATTTTTCGAAGAATAAAAAACCCACAAGACAGACTTCGGAATGATTCAAATGGATGTTAGTGGATAATAGAGACTACCCAGCATAGCGCATCCAAATTTCTAAGGAAGAAAGCAGTTGACCCCCTGTCCCTTGCCTTGCGTTATGATAACGGTCCTGATCTTCCCATAATCTAGGCGCGAGTTTTACAGGGTAATTATTCGGCTGGTGACAGACGGTGAGTTCTACACTTGATAGGGCGGTTGTTTTCCTGCGAACATTAAGTCACTCATGTAGAACAATGCGGGTCGTTGAAACTGTGGTGCATACAGTATAAAACCCAGGAAAGTTGGCGCGCGTCTTTAATTGGCGGTGTTTGGCAAATTACTAATCCATTAGTTAGGGCCTCCTGGTCAATAACATACTTATACAATCGATATTTGTGCCATACTCCGTTTCTTGAATCTAAACGTTAACTAGTTAACTCGCTGCGCAAGAATCCTCGGAGGCCTTGATATGATTTTGATTGTTTAGTTGCCGTTCGTCCAAAACAAGCCACAGTATACGTTCTTGGCACGGGTCACAAAGTGTGACTAACGTCTTCCCCCTGAATCGAACAGTCAATGGGAATGCTCATGCTCCAAAGTATCCAACTGGGAATCTGTATGGAGTCACTGGTCCAGGTAACTGTATTGTGATCCTTTTGTGATCCTAAAGGCGTCTAAACGTTGTTCTTTTCCTAGTCAGCAGACATACCTACGTGATGTTGCGTTATCATCTTTTTGCCAGCTTCAAAACCCGATGAAGAGTACGGCACTTTTCTCGAATTCTTGTTCTCTTCTCTTCTAGCATCTTGCCGACGACGAAAGATGGACCCTTCTCCAAAGCATACTCGTGAACCCGACTTACCAGTAGATGAAAGCTCTCGTACCAGCGGAAACATGAAAGAAGGCCACTCAGATATTTCTTCCTCGGACTTTGAGGTAGAAGTTGCAGCAAATGCACTTTCTCTTCGGGGCTTCTGGTTAAAAGTTTCCTTGACTCTTGTCGCTGGGACAGGTTTTACGCTCTTCGGGTAAAATCACCATCATCGCGATTGGCCATTTTACTGAGCGTTGAAAGGTATGATGCAGGGGTTATGTCTGCGCTACTTACGGCTGGACAAGTATGTCACGAATCCTTTCAAGAGCCAACATGATACTGAAACGAAATTTAGTTTGAAAAAGTCTTTCCACAAGTCATTGTAGAAGCTAGTCATCCTAACCATGCAACATTGCAAAGCTTTGTTGGAGCAATCTATGTTAGTTTTTTTTTTTTCAACGTTTTCTATTCCACCGAGCTTGTTTCTTTTTTAGTCTGGTGGCTGCTTATTTGGTGCATTGTTAACTTCATGGATTGGAGACTGGCTTGGTCGTCGACGAACCATAGTTTTGGGAGGAACTATATTAATAATAGGCGCCATCTTACAAACCGCATCGTACAGCTATGCGCAGCTTGTGGTTGCTCGTATCGTCACAGGGTTTGGGAATGGCGTAACCGTCCGTCTCATTCTTGAACTAGGGCTAGAAACAGGCTGACACGGCTGCAGACATCGACTGTACCAACATATCATGCCGAGTGCTCTCCAGCTGGACAACGCGGTAGTTTTATCATGATTGAAGGGAGTCTTCTCACCCTCGGTGTTGCTGCCTCGTGAGCATTTTTAATTTTCCCTGTTAGAAATACGTAATAACCTGTGGTGATCAAGTTATGTGAGCACTTGGATCATTGTCTAGTCATGCATATGATCTTACCGTTCTGTGAGCAGTGGATAGATTTTGCTTTGCAAGTCTTGTTCCATTCGTCAAGGATGGTCTTTTGAACAATATAGTACAGGTATGGTCAATCTGATTCGTCCGCCCAATGGCGAGTCCCAGAGTCGATTCAAATTGTTTTCGCTCTCGTTGTAGTTATATGGATCGTATTCGTGCGTCGGACTAACTTTCACTCATTTCATTTTCATCCATGCTGTTCTTTCTCTCAGCTTCCGGAATCACCTAGATGGTATTTGTTATACATTATTCTCTCGTCCATTAAATATAACGTCTTAATAGGCTCATGAAACACGGGCGAGAAGCACAAGCCATGGCCATCATTTCAGCATTTGAAGATAAACCATCGTCAGATCCTGGTGTTCAGCTCACGTTCCATGCGATGCGCGAGGCTGTCGCTAAAGAAGGTTCGATACTTCCAAGAGGAGATTCCAAGTCTCCAGAAGATAAGGCAACGACAGGCAGGAGACGTGGAAATGCTACGTTCAAAGAAATTTTTACTGGAGGACGGAGCCAAAATTTTCGAAGGGTAGCATTAGGTTCAGTTGCTCAGATTTTCCAACAAATAACAGGAATTGCTGTGGTTATATTGTTCGTAACTTCGTTTGTGCTAAAATGATTTACTCACAAGTTATGGATTAACAGTTACGCTGTGTGTATCTCCCTGTCATCCTTCCAACTCCCTAACGGTGTTAACTCCTGCTAGGCCATTCTTTTTCAAACTTTAGGTCTTTCCGATGTCACCTCACGTTTAGTGGCTGGTTGCATGGGAACTCAATATTTTCTTTTCTCACTTACCGCCATCCCTCTCATTGATCGGGTAGGACGTCGGCCACTCATGCTCGCTTGCGCAGGTGGCCTTTGTATAACGATGTTGCTATTAGCCGTACTGGGAAGTATAGGGAGTAAGATAGCAAATACCGTGAGCGTCGTATTGGTATTCATATACCTGGACATATTTTCTCTTGGATGGCTTGGGATGACTTGGCTGTATGTGAGTACATTGATATTCCTTGCTGAAGAATAGTGTTGACGAGATTCATTCCTACTAGCCCGCGGAGATCGCTGGCTTGAGAGTAAGAGCATATGCAACGTCATTGGCGACTGGTATACATGTAGCCCTCTCATCGTTGAGATATATACTCAAACCGGTGTTAGCGTCGAATTGGACGTTCAACTTTATTATTATCATGGTCACAGGCCCAGCATTTCAAAATATTGGCTGGAAAACATACATAGGTGAGTATCTTGCACGGTGGACGCGAAGTTTCATTCCATAAAGGCTCACTATTCATCTATTGTTGCTACTTAGCGTTCGCTGTTCTGAATGCGTTCATGGTCCCTTGCGTCTATTTCTTCTTTCCAGAGACCGCCGGCCGTTCACTCGAAGGTAAGCTTCATTTGAAAGGTCGCATAGAGCCATTAACAGGATTCGATGTCGACGACTGTAGACCTTGATGTTGTATTCGCCTTAGCCTATATTGAAGGGGTCTCACCAGTTTCAGTATCCTTACGAAAAGATGTTCCACTCGCAGGGACCCCCGAAGCTGACAGAATCTTGGGGATCGAATGTAGCTCTGTTGAAAAAGTCGCCATATAACGTGTTTGGGCCACATTCGCAAATATTCCCGCATGCATCGATATTGTGTAATACTAGCGATTGAAGTCTGCCTGATGTTTCATCTCAGATAAATGACTAGCACTGGCCATCCATGGCCGAGGTAAGACGAGCAAACGGTGGTGGCGTTATGCAGGTGTTCCTATCAAACTGGTGGGATAACCTGGGACAGATTTCAAGTTAGTCAAAAGTGTATAGCATTGGCAAACAATGATACCCAGGACGCGAAGATAGCAGTGGTATCATAGGCTGTTTCACTGTCAATGTGCCTTTGCAACCGCAAGCTATTCTAGCCAGGTAACCTTCGTGACGCCCACCATTTCTTCTCTCAAGTGAGGGGAAATTTCTAGGAAGAATAGGGCACCAAACAGAGACCTCTGCATTGTCATGGTTGCGCCAACTGTCGTTGGAAAGCTGAAGTTGTCACACGTCACGGCGTTGTTCAGTATAGCAACAATCTGGCACATCGGCGCCGATTTCTTGTCGTTCTGCAGTACTGCAGACATGACTGTATGCTACCAGTGGCCATGGTTCTTACTTCTGAAATAATTATCGAGACCAATCTGACTTCAAGATTATCAGCTGGCAACAAGCTGGCACGAGTATTGTCGAATCTTGGGAGCGCCAACGAAAGCGTCACATTCATGGCGGCTGATATCTCGTCATTTATTGGTACATCCATTTTATAGCTCTGGACGTTCAAGTTCATTCTCTCGTTCGTACATACATTGTCTCTGGATATGATGGGATGTCCTCGGGGTTGCCGGGTTGGCAACACTAGCTACTATTTTCAGAACTGGATCAGGGTCCAGGTCCGAGTCTATGTGATTTCCATTGGAAACCATTGATTGATCTTTCCCGAACCACGAGCCAAGCAAAATTATCTTTCTTCCCAAGCTTTCTCTGCGGGGGTGCTAGTGGTTCTTGTATCAGGCAAATGGTCTTTTCCTTGAGTTCTACATCAAAAAATTTACGGACTCGCATCAGTGGATCTGGCTTCTGTTGATATCGATGCTATTCTTCTCTCGATTTACCGTTGTTTCCCGGAAAATGATGACAGTGGTGCGAAGATAGGTGAGCTTTCATCTGCTATCAAGGAAATGTCCGGTGCAGTATTGAAAATATGTCTGCCTTTAGAGGGACACTTTTAACTATTTTGGTAAGAACCTGATGGCACCGACCCGGCAAAAATACACTAGATCAAGCACACCGCATAATGCTACAAAGTTAGTCGTCCTTGCTTATCTAATTCAATATTTGATGAGTCGATATCTTGTAAATAGGGCAAAGTTATCTTTTGTTACAACTCACTACCACTATGCTTGTTACCGCACAAGACGCAATTGCAAAGACATATGATTTTGTGATCATTGGTGCGCAGCAAAGGCCCTCCCTTCTACCATTGTATTCATCTATGTTCACCGTGACACATCAGGTGGAGGTGTAAGTGATATGTCTCCTTATGTGCAGTGCAGTTTGTCTGATCTCTCCATCATCTAGACCGCAGGACTATGTCTGGCTGCAAGGTTGACTGAAGACCCCAATGTGACGGTGCTGCTTCTCGAGGCCGGGGTTGAGAATCTGGATGATCCAATGATTAGTTTGTCGTTTATATTGCCGCACAGACGCACTGTCCCTCATGGGCTTTTTTGCTATCTCCGCAGCACTCTCAGCTCAATATGGGTCACACTTTGGACAGAAAGCTTATGACTGGGGCTTTCAAACAGTGCGTAACGTTATGTACTGTCTAGACGGGACAGCTAGTTGACAAGCGCCAATCTATAGACCCCCCAGAAGTCTTGTGATGGTGCCCAATTTTTCTGGCCTCGGTATGTTGTTCATGTTTTAGTTATCAGCTGATTTTAATTTCCATACAGAGGCAAGCTCTTAGGTGGAAGTTCAGCTATCAACTTTCTTGTTTGGTCCAAGCCGCCTGCTTCGCACATTGACGGTATTTACTTCATTTCTGACCATTTACCAGCGTTCCTCAACGCATAGTAGACTGGGAGAAGCTGGGAAATCCTGGATGGAACTGGGCAAGCTATGATAAGTGTATGCAGAAGGTTGAGAAGTGAGTTACCTTACTGAATGATCCTGATACTGTACTCATCCGGCCGGATGCCTTCAGCTTTTTGTTACCTTCTCCCGAGGTTGAGAGCATGCTGGGTCTGGATTCTAAACAGTGGTTTGCAAACGCAAGTGGTGAGGATCTCTGTTCTGTGTCACGCTGAAGCCAGGTATTAATCTTCATTTTACAGCTCCCTTGAAGACAGGATACCCTGCTACCACAACGTCTGTAGAAATTGCAGCGTATAAGGTACATCATTTCTTTCTCTAGAGTCACTCCTTTGTCCAAGAATTACTTGAAATTTAACAGACCTTGTTAAACATGGGCATTCAACGTGCCGCAGACCCTGTAAGCCCAAACTAAATTCCAAGTCAAAATTTGCTGCTGACCAGTATCTTTGTAGATGAATGGTGATGTGAGCGCATATATTGACGTAACCAGGAATGGTGCGATACTAAAGTGTTGCATACACTTATAGCCCAATGGAGTCTTCTTTACTCCCAACTCTATTGACACTGTGACGCACACTCGTACATATGCTACAACGGTGGGTTATTCTATATCTGAGCTTGCTTGACAGCTGGAGGCTGATATTGGCAATCATGTGATGCCTTAGGCCTATTACTTGCCTAACATACACAGACCCAATTTTTCCGTTCTGGTGGCTGCTCATGTTACTCAAATTTTGACATCACAAGATGCACCAGGCTCCAAGGTGACAGCAACTGGGGTGGAGTTCATACACGGAGACCAGAAATATACCATCAACGCGAATAAAGAAGTGGTTCTCTGCGCTGGGTATGTCTTTTCGCTGCCTTGTTATGTCACAAGTCTTATGCAAGCATTGTTTGCATTACAGTGCCATTTCGTCACCTCATATACTTGAGCTTTCTGGCATCGGCAGGAAATCTGTCCTAGACTCAATCCAAGTGCCATTGAAGGTTGATTTACCAGGCGTTGGAGAGAACGTACAGGAGCATATGTTTGCGGGCGTCACTTATGGTAATAATGCTCCTTTATTTGAATGCCGCACTCTTGACTATATATCCGTTACAGAGCTTGCTTCATCTTTCCAGGAATTTACGCTTGACTTCATCCGCGATCCTGAGGTTGCGAAGCAGCATGCTGTTCTCCAGTATGATATGTCCGTCTTTCATGTCCTAACCAAGCTAACGCACGTTCATAATTGTAGCGCTGCAGGACAAGGTGTTTATACCATGGGTGTCACCGGGATGGCTTACACCCCTCTGAAGGCTATTACCGAACACTGTCAAACCATTTATGAAGCTGCCAAGGCGAAAGTTATCGAAAACATCTCTTCTTATCCCCCGGGTCTGTACGAACAATATGAGATGCAGCTAGAGCGTCTCATAAATGGGACCCCAATTTGTGAACTTATCATTTTCCCCGGTTTCTTGTCGTTTCCCAGTGTGTTTTACTATTATATCTTTTGCTTCCTTGGCTCACGTCCTTAAAGATCCTCCAACTCCTGGAAAGAATTACATCACAATCTGCCCTGCGCTTAACAACAACTTCTCAAGGGGAACCATTGTGCGTATTGTGTGTTTATCTATCGTGCGACATGCTCATGAGCGGATCTGAAGCATTCTGTCTCTTCTTCCCCTTTCGACAAACCGGCTTTAGACCCTCATTACTTTGAACAGGACGTTGGTCTGTCACTGTATTCTATATTCTGTGGCTCTATACTGACGTACGACATAAGATCTACAAGTGATGGTCGAAATCTTGAAATTTATCAGGAAAATGCCTGAGCATGCTCCGTTCAAGGATGTTTTAGGTCAGTCAGCAACGTCTAGTTCATCCTTCGTAGTTAATTCTAACTTTTCTCTCCAGCTTCTCCCTTAACAGAGGTCAATCCCGGTCCTTCGGTAGTGACAGATGACGACATCAGAGGTAAGCCATCCTGTCACATGGTAGTAATCAGATCATAATATTAATAAAAACATAGATCATCTGAAAAAGTGTCTCTCCACAACATTCCGTAAGTCTGAACAACATGAGAACTTCTATTTCGCGGTCACTTACGTTGCTCGCTTCGACAGATACTGCCGGATCTCTATCGATGTTACCGAAAGATAAAGGTGGGGTAGTCGATCATAATTTAAAGGTCAGTCCACTTTTCGCCATATTTTACACACACCGGCTGAATAAACCCTAGGTCTACGATACAACAAACATCCGTGTTGTGGATTTGTCCATTGTACCCGTCCTCTTCACTGCTCACCCCCAAGGCAAGCGTTTACGTCTCGATTGGTTATTTTGGCACTGACTTGAGATTCTTTCTAGCTACTGTATATATGATTGCTGAGAAAGGTTGGTTTATAACACAAATATTTGTTAGCTTGTCACTCTGATCTGAATTTCTTAGGTGCCGAAATCATCCAAGGACAAACCTAGAAATTAATCGAAACTTTATTGTACTGAGATGTAAAGCGCGTTATAGCGTGATAGGATGTCTGTTTTGCGTCGGAGGCTTGACCCGAAATCAAGTGATGTAATAAATGATAATATCGTAGGCTTTAATCAGGCCGCTATCTGCGCAATGGTTTTGTCAGCACGAAGGATCAGTGCTAATTCTCATTTGACTCTAATCTAAACAGCTATTCTTCTGATGGGCGACCTGAGCTCCACTACAAATGGACATAATGTGTGATTTGAAAAAAGATCCTCCGGGTTTCTGACTAGCCGGCTCGTCACTCGTGTGCATGAGAGAGAAGCTGAAATAACTTTGAGCGATGTGTCTCGCGTATAACTGTAAGGTTCAGATACGTCTGCTGCAACATATCAGCGAGTGCGCTTGACGTGATTGTCAGGATGTGAGGTGAGAGGAGTTAGCGTTCAGCCACAAAGAATCCTTGTCGCAGAGACGGTCGCTAAGCCTCATCGACAAAAAGCTGTTGCCAAACCAAATTCCGAGGAATCTGAAAGTATAGATAAATCGAACAACGGTATTACATTGGCAGATAGAAAATCTATAGTTAACACTGGTACTCGACGACACCTCGAAACGCAGTGATCACCGTTCTCGGATGTACCCGGTAGTCTGAAAGGACAATGCCGGCGTGGCGCCCTCAGCGAGGTGATACCGTCCACAGCCACGTGCGCTGATCATTATCCCGCCGCTGATCGCTCGACTGGGCAGTCATGAGACTACCATTTACATAACATAATGGAACTGGCGGGTCAGTAGCCTGTTTCTTGTGGGTTACAATCTATCATGGCTTGATGACTGATGCCTGATAAGTAACTTACCGTAGATCCACAGCTTGATCAAACATTCCGGTTTCACGTTCACTCGGATCAATCCTGACTCTTCGGCGGAGCGACCCTGTTACAATAACTCTGTCTCGATGGCCATCGCACAGCCGAGCTTTTTTTCAAATATCCCACCTTAATGGAGATAGTGTACCAGGTTTAATTTTGGACAGTGCATTACAAGCTTCTTAATTGCGGTGCTATAGCCGAGATGCACTGAGGTAACGGTGACCACATCCTGAAAGCGATTAACACTCCTGGACCCTTGCACTAACAGTGCTTGCTTGCTGTGACTAGGGGCTGACCTCGAGGTGTTTTACAGAGCAGCAGCAAAAAATCCACTTGCGTCGGGATAAATTTCTGCAGATTCTAGAAGCCTGGTGGACAATAGATTTATTCCCATCATCAAATGATGGGATAGAAAGCTGTACTAAAGCGTCGACCATTTCCAAATCTGCTCAGTCAGGGGACACTATAAGAGTCTACCACCGACATATTAGTAATGTTGCTGCATCTGTTCTTTACTGTGCACGAGAAAACCTGCAAGCTGCTCAAATGGCTCTTGGACCCGCTGAAGTAACGTCAGTATATTCTGTTGTGATTTATCTAGCCCATCAACTGATGCCCAACGCTTATCAGACATGGACCAATGTTCGTGGGCACGGTGTTGATGCTCGCGTTGTATGGCATAATGGTCACCCAGGCTTATCTATACTTCACCACGTACACGAAGTAAGCTCATGACAGAGTATCGAAAGGCGACGCAATATCTAATTAGTATGCAAGGGATCGAAAATGGATGAAGTTCTATGTATGTATCAACTGTGTCTACTTTCTATGCCAGCTGGGGTATTACCGACTGCACAGCTGATAAATTAACCAACAGGTTTTTATTCTGTTTATCGCAGTAACTCTGAAAGTTATTTTCAACATCATCTACCTCTACGATGCGTTGATAATTCATTATGGTGTGTCAAGTTTGATCCCTAGTCATTTTGGCTTATATTTATCACCTTTTAGATGACCCGGTATATTTGCAAAGTGCCACGTTGAGTAAGTGTGTTGATTCTACACAGTCTACCGTCGAATAACTGTTTCCCCCCCGTGCAGTGTTTAACACAGGTAAATGACACTCTGCTATAATATTGACACGTCCACGATTCTGATATATTTTCCTCAAACCATCAAAGACCCAGCAATGACGGTAGGCAATCAACTGTGTCACTCATCTTCAGGTCTCATATACTCCCTTTAGGGTATAATATCAACATACGTTCAATGTTTCTTTGCTTGGAGGGTCGGGGTGATCACTACGAAACGTTGGCTCGGTGGACTGATCGTCATGCTATCCTTCATCGGAGGACGTGAGTACTTTCTTCTTCTCCAAAAACGGCCGTAGTGGTTCATTAAATAGCATCATCTTACTGGTTAACCTTTTGGGCATAGTATCGGCCATCGCTTCTGCTGTCGCAGCTGGTTACATTCCGGTCTTTACAAGCTTTCAGAAATTCCAAGCCGCTGTGATTCTTTGGCTCGGAGGGTCTGTTTTAAGTGACATCTTCATCACAGTGTTACTCGTCTGGCATTTAGTAAGTTTCACTTGTTCATGTTATAGTAACCGTGGTTCGACCTCTCCTCGCAGAATCGTCGAAAGACAGGATTTTCCACGACAGATGATATCGTCAATCGCATCATTAGATGTAAGCTACGCTGATACGGTTACCCTTCAACTTGTCGCTAATATTCATCGCAGTGACGATTCAGACCGGAATGATCACCACCATCTTCGCATTCATCGATTTAATTTTATTCGTGACGGATGTAAGTCTGATTTGCGGCCTTGTATAGACACGTTATTGACGCCACTTAATTAAGCCCACCGGGCTGTACGTTTCTCATCACCTTTTTATTTTCCAGCGGGATAATTGACGTTCGCTTAGCCATCTCATCTTCAACTTCCCTCTTTGTGTTTTATACGCAAATTCCTTAATGTCGACTCTGAACTCGCGAGGAAGTTGGCGGTTCGTCCAGAACAAAGAAGGATTAAGTTCCTCCGGGCAGCAAACTTCAGCTATTGTTAGACCAGGAGGAGTGAGTAGCCTATTGATACGGTACACACTGTACAAAGTCTCATATTTTCACAGGCAAATACAAATGTCGTGCATTTGAAGACGAGACCAGAAGTAAGTAGTACCGCTCTGCTTGTTATGGGAAATGCTGACAAGAAATACACTCGCTCAGGTCTTCGTTCAAGTCGAATCACACCAAATGGTGGACGTAGCTGACAGCAAGGGCGACCTCTTCTCTGACGATATCCCCAAAATCCGGGACAGCACCAACTCCTCTGCCATTTCGCATGTATAATTAAGGAAGTGATACATAGCATTGTTTAAGTTTATCTTTCACTGACGTTTTCGAGTCTTTTCGCCAAAAGACCATCCCATCTTTTGTTTGTACCTTTGTTGTGAAATACAGTATCATATAGGAAGTAAATGTAATAGCCTCGTTTGCGACTGAATCTCCTGAGCTGGTCCTACGGTCAGCATACCTAGATTTCGAATAATGATGATGGTGAGTGCTTAATATTATGATCTGAACAGGTTTCAGGCGTTCCCTAAGTTGCGGTGTGTCGTGTGACACATACTCTTCGTCGGACTCGGACGTTTCAAGTTCACATAACGTCGACATGTCTAACTTGAATGACGGTTACGCATTCCATAGCTTTGCCATTTTAAACTTGCGTATCAGTCTACACTCCCAAGTTGGCACTAATACTATATGATGCTATCAGTCCTATGTCACGGTTACGCGTCATAAATCAGTGACAACCTTACGTATTAGCAGTGCAGGGTACTGCAGGCAGATTGTCGAGTTGCACTGCGACGGTTGTCGTCAGCATGAAACTCCTCAAAATTGACGTGCGTGAATCCGATCATCCACTGGCAGTCAATGAATTATTATGGCAGCGTGTTCTCCAATACATGGCACTATAATGGTGTACCATTGTCAGGTGTATGTATTGTACAAATCTGCATATTTTCGGCCAAACTCATGCATGAACTGTTCGTCCCAAAAGTAGTGCGGGGACGTATTATTAACCGCGCGCTGTCGTCTCTTCCTAGAAATCTGCCAGCCAACTGTCCCTGTAATTGATCGCTCTTCACAATTATGTTTGTTGACCGGAGACACTAAAGTTTGCCGCGCTATACTTGATTGGCGCACTGAAGTAGGCGGTACAAGTTGCCAATAATGGTGTTGCATCTCCATCAGGTATGTTGTATCATGGTGGCGATGTGTCGCCCATGGAGCATTCATAGGTCTCTGACTTACTAGGACGTACTACGAGGTGATCGGTGAGCATTGCATGTCGTTCATCCTGCTACTAGTGTCTGTTCGACATTATGTCAGGCCGGTGCTTCATAGGTGCGTCGCAATATTTATCCCTATTTTGATGTTTTACATTCCAGTATGATTTTGAAGACTAAGAGCTAGTCCTAGTAAGTCCGCACTGTGGCATTGATGTTTTATATTCCATTATGATTTTGAAGACTTAGAGCTAGTCCTAGTAAGTCCGCACTGTGGCGTGTAAAAAGAAGTAATAAACATGCTGATGAAGTTCGTGCTAGTGTCCTATTAGCAGACCATCGATGATGCCATAGCCACGATAGCTGAAGGGCTGAAAAGCGACAAACTTTTGGTATATAATTATATAGATTTGGATTTGTACGAAGATTTCAAATATACCACTCTTCTTTACTTCATCTGTTTAATTGCACGTCTGTACTCTGAATTTTGACATTGGTGATCAACTGCTGTGCATAATTGACCCACACAAGTCTTCGTACGCTCCGAGAATGCCAGGTCGTGATCTACTTCGACTGTTACTAGCTCCCCATCGACAGTATTAGTGGTGGTCCAAGCAATAGCCACATCGGTACCCAGAGGACCAGGCTGCACAATCGTTCTCATCGACTGCTTTTCGTACCGTATACTCGTTTCAGGCCAATGTTTGCTCTTCGTGCTCAATTTTTTGACCGAGGACCAAATGAGCACTATAAACCGAAGCAGAATTGCCAATCGGGAAGGGTATGGCATCCAAGTCGGCAAACTTGTTTGCAAGCCACGGTTCCGAGTTTTGCTCCTTTCAAAGTCAACAAATTTGCGGGAAGGCACCGGTTCGGCTGGTGGGTGCCCTGAGATGATAATCCAGATTTCATTAAAGAAACAGCTCGATGCATCAATGGTGGTTCTGTGGAAATAAGAGAGGACGGTGGGAGTGTTGGACCAGAAGACCTCGGAAAATACTATTTGTCATGTACCCTCCTCGAAGAAGGCAGTGCGCAAAATTCAAAGACGCGAGATAACACCGTCCAGTGCATGAACAAGAGTGTCAATGTCAGTGTGTGCTGTCCAAAGTTCGTGGGTCACGGACCACGGACCACTGGAATGCTCTCTATGTGTGGTAGTGCATCCTCTACGTCATCATTGGTAAGACCACGGATACGTAGGACCTTATTTAAGGCGGCTTGGGCGAAAGCCAATTCATGCCCGTTGTAGGTATCCGTTGATACAGAACTTTGTCTCCTAGGATGCGAAAGCGACAGCTGGTCCGAATAGGAGCCTAGAGCTGTGACGAGTGTATGTTTATAAATGGCCGAGTAGGACACCACTCCAAGCCCAAATTCAGCCTGAAAAGAAGCTAAGAGCATTGAAAGGGGAAGGAATGTAACCCCAATTCGATAAGGTCTTTCATTTTTGGATACGAGCTTCAGTATAGTTCCATACTGGGATATTTGATCCTCGACTCCGGCCAGAGGGGCGGGTGGTTCGAGAGGCACATGCGAATCCAGCCTTGACAACTGCGAGGACAGGTACTATGAGAAGAGTCGAACGAGGGACAGAGATTGCGACGTGGGGAGTGAGGTAGTCGTCCTGGACGGCGATGGAGTTGGGATATAGTGTTATATGCTGATAAAAGTGATAATCGAGACTGTCCATGATAACGGATTAAGGAAGAACCTTTAACTTGATCTGAGTTCAGCGACTGAACATTTCACACAAGTGCAGTTCAGCGCTCGGGAGGTGTACCGAATACAGGCAGCCAACCGACACGAATACCAAGTTATAACAACTGTGATCCTGATGGGCGCGTCTAGAGGCCATCGAGTACCACAAATTGCATGTTCAAGACTTCCGTTGAGCCCAAAAGATGTTGTAGAGCGCCAAAACTGATAAAGCTTAGTGAGATGGACTGGGAAACTGTTGGTACAGTTCTGTCCGCGAAAAAAGAGTGCCAGACAACTTCCTAAAATGGAAGTCTGTCGAATTGACACATCTTCGTAATATCACTGCCTCACTATTCAGATAGAATATTCTTTGTCTTTGACCGAACGAATCTGTATTGATACTCCAAAGAAACTGTCCATCAAGTACTAAGTGTAAAATTGATAAAACAAAAACATATCAGACAATCCAGTTTTGGGACCCCGGAAGCTACCCCAATCCTGGGAGTCGGTGCCAGGCGGGATTTTGGCCCCTTGTAGAACCTCTGATTTTCAGTCACAGTTCACTCGCGTAGCTCGCCGTTCCTTGTCACTCCTTTTGCCTTCTGCCAGCGCGACGTGCACGTCGTCTGTTCTGCTTTCAGGTTATCGGGACTCGTGGTGGAGGTGCATCGACGTTCATTTCTCATATCTCGTAATCAAAACGGTGCCCTCGCGTTCACCATTCACCCACTTGGCTTCACCACAACGAAGGAAAGAGGTTGTTGCAATATTTGAGTGGATTGAACTACCTTTTGTGTCGACTATCTGCTTCTCTTGCATAATTTGGAGGCTTCGGAGAATACGATGGCTACAATGCATCGACGCAAATCCAGCAAAGAAGAGGACGAGAATCTGCTCATACTTTCAAATGGGCCTACTCCCTCTAACGAAAATGTTCCAGCGAATATCCATATTCAAGTAAATGGTCAAAGTCAGACAGATGGCCTTATACCTCCCACAACATCTCGTAGCCGCGTGAGCTCAAGTCCCGCAGGATTACATGCTCATAGCCATTCATCTTCCCAATTACATCCAAATCAGCTTCCTCCTCTTCGTACAGGTCTGCCATTTCCACGCCAGCCTAGCACAAACGGTACAACCAGCCATCCAACGTCACCATTCCGTAACTCCTTCTCGATACCACCACAGCCTCACCTCACTCCAAGCTCTCAATCAAATTCACACACGCGTTCGCATTCGCATTCTCGCACCCGTTCTGTCTCTGGACCATTCGTTCCAACTTTGCCCTCACCTCTTTCAACGTCATTTCCACATGTCCATCAGCCTCAATTGCATCCCCCAACCAGCAATGGATCATATGCTTTCCCTACGGCGGGGAACAGTCCTGAGTTGTCCTCGAATGCAAGTCTCGGTATGGCCTCAGCTCCTGCACATGGCAGGCGCCATTCAAGGCTCCACTCTCGTAATCTCTCTATCTTCTTCCCTCGTCCCGGTTCACTTCCGCACTCGACGATCGCAGAGGACGGCGTAGAAGCAGACAGACCGCCCGATGTAGAAGCACCAATCACCCTTATGCCATCTGCACAGTCTGAACCTCTTATCAATGGTTCACAAAAGCGTTTAGGCGACGGATTTACCTTCGGTGCGCGTCCACCCAATTCGGTATCTCTTGATTCCGTACATTCGGCAGTTGGTGGTACACGTAGGGGACATCATCACAAGCATTCCCTTTCCCATAACTTTTTCTCTTTCCTCGAGCCAGGTTCTCAGCCGTCCGCTGCGGATTTGCACACTTCGCCGACGCCAGTCCCTACTTCACCATGGAGTCCCGTATCCACCATCTCTCGCTCCGCCAGTTCCTCGACTACATCTCTAGTCCCGAGTGCTTTAGATGGGCCGCGTCTCAGGACTACATCAGACAGCTCGGAAGTCGAGCACCGCGACGTTCCGCCTTCAGTGTCTACTTCTGCCGCTGTGATCGCTGTAGCGCAGTTCTTCTTGGGTGCGTGGGTATGGGTTTCAGGCCAGCAAATTGGCTCGCTGGCGTGTACGGGTCTGGGGTACTGGATTGTATTCGATGCTTTTGGAATTTCTCTGGCCGAAGTTGTACCTGGATACCTTGCAGGGAACGATTTACAGTCCAAGGTACGGAGACCCTATGGGTAAGTCACCCGATGACCTGCCAAGTTGCTCTGAGGCTTACTTGTGCATATCTTTCGTAGCAATGGAAGGGTCGAGACAGTGTTTATGTTCGCTCAGTCGGTATACTTGATGTTCGCTTCGGTGTACGTTTGCAAAGAGACTGTGGAGCACTTACTTTTATCCGCTGGGGAAGGTCATCACCATCATCATGGAGACGAACTCGCGGATAATTTGGGGTGAGCATAATTTTATCACTAAATATGAAAGTGTAATCAAATTTATCGCGCTACAGGATTGAATTTCCTGTTCTTCTTGTATTTATCACGCTCATTTCATTGCTGGGCACTTCGCTGTCGTTTAACCACCATTCGAAGCTAGTCAACAGTAAGTTTTCTACCTTGTCTTCTTCGAAATATACCCAAGTTGAATTGCAATTCAGTTGCGGGCAATCACCTTTCATCACCTCTTTCTATCATTCGCTCCACTTTGAAACCATACCCGTCATCATCAACTTTTATCCATCCCTTGCCTACATCCCGTGCTGGGATGTTGCTCTCCAATCCGTTCGCTGTCGCACCTATAGTATTTTGCATATCAATCCTTCTATTTGCTGCATTTCTCCCTTTGTGAGCATCTTCGTTCTCAATAGTCTGTAATATACATTAACCTCACATGGTAACGCAGATCGCAATACCGTCCATTTGACTTGGGATTAGCATCCGTAGAGGCATTGCTGACCTTCAATGTGGCGTACAAGGCCTGCGTGGTTCTGGGTACGGTCCTGCTCCAAACGTCTCCAGATCGCAGCCTATCAGGAGTCAGGATGGATGCCTTCACACGTGCTTTACGAGAGGTTCGTTGTACTTCTCTACCTTTTGAATCCGCCTAATTAATGCTTCCTTTCCTTCCTAGGTCGAAAGACATCACCAAGTCTTGCATCTCCCCACACCACACGTCTGGCAATTGACACCTACTCAGCAACACGCACCTGCAAAATCACTCGTTGTAACGCTCGAATTGCACGTACGCAATGACTTGAGTGATAGTGATGTGCTTGAGCTCACGCGTTGGGCATGGGAGCGCGTGGTGAGTGCATTGAGGCTTGGGTCGAGGAGTGTAGGAGATTTGAGAGAGGAGGCAGAAGTTACTGTTGGCGTGGTTCGGGAGTAAGAGGCGTGGTTCGAGGTATATCTTATGGTTTTGCTGGGCGCGTTCATTTATCTTGTTATATACCCTTTGTCTCTTAAAAGCACTCACATGATCTTCACTCTGGACCGTACCATTGTGGCGTTGGCGCCTTTGGTTCCTAGCAAGCACAAACAAAGATATAGGATGTTTCTCGAACACGTGGCCTCGATTTCGAAGTTTCGTTTCGGTGTGACTTGTGGTAGCTTGTGGTTTCGAACAGTGGAATGCATCTATGACGTCGATGGTAATCGTACGTCACCAATTGCACCAATTGCAAGGTATGCGCGCTTGACAGGTGGCCGTATAAGAAGACCTACTGGAAACTTGTGGTCTCCGTTTCCTCCTTCCTCTCTTGCCCTCAACAGTTCACCTTGAATCAAGGTTTTGGACGAGTGCCGTATCCAGCCCTTACAACTTAAGTTACTAAAGTAGAGCCTTCACCTTGCTCAGAATGTCGCCCAAGGGATTTGTGTTTGACTTCTCCGGTATGTTCGTTTTCGTTAATCAAATTTTTACCCATTGATCTACTATCTATCGCGTAGACAAATGTATCATTGTAACAGGAGGAAATCGAGGTATCGGTTATGCGTTCAGTAGGGCCATGGCCCAGGCTGGCGCCAGGGTTGCAATTATCTACAGGTTGGTCGCGTCCAACAGTTCTCAGATTTTTAACTGGCCTCATACGTCTGGATCTGCTAGGAGCTCCAAGGATGCGCCCGAAATCGCAGAAAAGCTGAGCAAAGAGTTTGACGTAAAAATCAAGGTGAACTTCATTCTCCTTTGCTTTCCACTACATATTATATTGATCAAGGAACGGTCAGGCTTACCAATGTAACGTCTCTGATGCTGAGAAGACTACCGAGACATTCTCGACAATCGATAAGGAGCTAGGACCTGTTACTGGACTAATCGCGGTTGGTGAAGCTTACTGTGGCTGCAAAGCTTACGATAACCGTATATATGCGCCAATAGAACGCCGGTGTCTCTGTGGTGAAGCCGGCTCTCGAATTAAACAGTGAAGATTTTCAACAAGTATTCAATGTGAACGTCCTTGGGGTGTTCAACAGTGCTCAGGCAGCTGCAAAGTATGTCCCTGTCCTTAAATCCATAGTAGCATATAATAGAATTCTATATAGGCTATGGGTCCATTCGAAGCGTGGCGGGTCTATCGTGATCACCTCCTCAATGAGCTCACAAATAATCAACCAAGTGGCTCCGAATAAAGCTCTGACTCAGGTCTGCGATTTCTCCCTTGAACTTCGTACCATCTATATCTGTCTTGATAGGTTTTCTACAACTCCTCGAAAGGTGCAGTCTCTAATCTAGCAAAAGGTCTCGCAGCAGAGTGGGCCCAATACAATATTAGGGTCAACACCGTTTCCCCAGGATACGGTTTGTTTTTTATTCCCCTTTCCCTTCTTACACCACCCTGACGATTTTTACGCAGTAAATACGGACCAAACTGCGCACATGGATAAGAAAATTCGCGAGCACCAGGCATCTAATTTACCACTAGGTCGTTTTGCAGAGGTATGTGTATTTGTCTTGATGAATGATCCTTGCTTACTGGCATTCAATGATTAGCCTCACGAGATGGCTGGTCAAGCCATCCTTCTTCTCTCCGATCATGGCAGCTATATGACTGGCGCTGAATACTTTGTCGATGGGTCAGTCTTCATCTTCACTGTTGCGAATACTCCAGTTGACGCCCGTTACTGTACTTCAGTGGCCAGCTTGTTTGGTAAATATATAAAATGCTACACTCCGTAAACTGGCTGGTCTACTATAACAAGAAAATGGTAAAAGATAAAGTAATCAATCTAAATTACAATCCTTGCATGTAGAACATGGAAGTGATCATTTGCGGTTAGTGCGAGGCTCCAATTTAAGTATTTTAAAACGATGCTGCGTTAGCATTGAATACATCACCCCCTTATTGAAAGATTGTATTATCCCTCGCCACTCTCGAGAATATCGTCACGTCGACTACACAACGATGAGATCAAGTTCGTTTTCCATTGCAGGAAATAAAAGTCGGGAGTCGCAATGTTTGAAGTGTCCAAGCAGCCAAAGTTAAAATAGCTTGCCCGATCTAAAAACAGCAGAAGGTAGAGCAAAAAGCTGGACCTAGACTGCAGAGAAAGTCTCGTTTTTCCACTTCCCGCTGTCTGAATCACTGTTCAGCTCGATTTCTCCGTCGGGGAACCCATCGATATGGGTATGAACCGTTTGCTGTAGTGATACCTGGACACCGCCTTCTGGGAAGGGACAGTGGTTTGAGCCAGGATATAGTGACTCCGTTGGTCTCGTGCTAGACCTGGCGGTTATACGATGGCGTATGGAAGAGATGGTACCTTTCGCATGATATGAGTCTCCGTGACTGACTCCCATGCCTACGCGGACAATGACGGACGAGAACTAGGGGTTAAATCGTTCTGAGATCAAAGCACGTTGCAAGAGGCGCCCGAAACTCACCACTATGCCCTTTATGTCCGTTGAATGATTAGGGTCAGTATAGATCTCTAGGTCAACTCAGGGATAATATCTTACAATGACAGGGGAAATCTGTTTGGAGCCATGTCAATACATAGAAGTTCACAAGTAAAAGTTCACTTACGCTATTCAAAAATATGAACATAGCTGGCGAACCGCTCGTATAAGTTGCAATCATGACAACCAGGACTGCAGAGTAGACGGAGCCTTTTTTTTCGAAAGGAGCGAAAGCTCTGTCAAGACGACGGACATATTGACAATGAATAGAATGAGCGAACCTGACTCGACGATGATAGCCACGACACGGGACAAGTCGTTTTCGTTTCCCTTTGCAAAAGGCGCGACGGCCCTTTGTATTCTCCAGATTTTGTAAGCAATCAAAGCTATCATAAAAAATAATAAAAAAGCGAGCTGGCATAAGAATGTTGCTCATCACGATTAGATAGGGAAAACACGCACTAGTACAGATTACGTTCATAGCAAGGGTGATAGAGTAGAATGTTTTGACGCGTACAGAGAGCGCGTCAGCGAATACATTCTCCCCTGGGAGTACTAAACTTAATGTGTACACCCAGAATATGCCGATGGCTGGAGAGCACTGATCAAAACCAGATGTAAGACCCATGATACCAGACATACCAATATCGGCGAGGAAAAGCATAAAAGGGATTGTGGTGATGAGGTAGCTCCTACCCCAGACGATAAAAGAACGGTACAGCTTGGAAAATAATCAATGTGAGAATTTTTTTTGATGAGGCTGACATATTTCATCACTCACAATGAATGCATCGGATACAACAGTGACAGCTACATAAGTTCCACTTTTGAAAACGTTCTCCCAAGTATCATACAAACCATAGTAATATAGGGGGAAGTTTGGTGTCGCCTCGTCGGAGGTAAAAGCTATCATATTGCGCAGAATGTCGATGACCAAGTGCTGCAATATGAACAAGATTGAGCTGAGATTAATATTACGAATATTTATCAAATAATTACTGACCATGGTGACGAGGACGAATAGCGACACTGCTGTGCCTTGCAGATAAAAGCTAGGTCTTGAGCTTCTCTTGCGTAGGACAGTCACGCATTGGTTGAATACCATCAAGTAGACACCTGTTGAGATGTCAACGCGCTGATCCAAGCCCACCAAAGCTGTTCACGTACCATAAGCTAGCGACTCCAAGAAAACACCGGTGAGCTCAGCCTTTGGTATGGTCAACGTCATGGTGGTCCACTATGTGTCTGAAACGGCATACGGAGGGTGAGACTAAAGGGATTCATGAACGAATGGTTGTGCTATTATACATACCTTTGGCAGTCGCACGATCTAAGAGACACCCACGATGCTGCCTTGCGGAGACGAAGATAAACCGGCCTTAGGGAATTTTGCGGGATAGACGATTTATAACGAAAAGGTCCGCCTTCACAATTACCAATGACCCAATCTGAGAAGCGGCGTGGGTCGGGGAAAGGTTGTCAGAACGAGTTCGTGGAAGGTTGATGGTATCAATAGACACGGACTCACATAGGAAAGACCGAGTGTGATGCAGTATGGTACAGGCCGTCGGGTGAAAGAAAGGAAGACCCAAGATTACAAGAGAGGGTGCTCAGACGGCAAGGTGTGAGAAGGTTGATCCACTGCAGGATGGCTTTTCGGGACCTAGAGAGGCATGCCCATATGTGTATGCAGGGTGCTTTCCTATAATAAGCCTTCTGTACATGTATAAGAAGTCCTGCTGCCATTATAGGAGGCTCACCTCCTTTTACTACCAGGGTCTTGATCTGAACCCTAAAGGCCTCAGGCCTCAACAGACTTGATCCGTACTCAAAAGTCAACTGTCACATGCAAGTACCACATCAATCAATTTGTGCTGTCTAACTTGGCGCGCAAAAGGGAGCACTGGGATAGGTCGTGAAAAACACAGACAGAAGCAAGCCCAAGATATTGACCATGTGAACAAGGCCACTGTTATGTGTGTTTCGAAGCTTGACTCGTGAGCAGCAAAAGCCTCCTTGCACTCTTGGTCTCTGCCAATCAACTCACGTGGCGGTCCTAGCCGACTTCCGACGAAATGCCGAAGCGGGGCAAAACATGCCGAGAGTTCTTTTCGAATATTTCCGTCAGGATGTAGCCGCAGTACAGCGGAAGAACGAGGTCCCGGTTTTCGATGCTGCCCTTATGACTTTCAGAGGACAAATCTGCGGATACTACCAAAACTTTTTATTAGAAAAATCAATTCTCGTAGACCTGGACTTACAATCGTCATGGATGTGGGCACTTTGAAATGTAGTGCTAACAACAGGTGCACTATTTTCAAATATTGCGGTTGCAGTTGGCCAACACCCCTCTTCCCACAGCCTCCTTTTCCTCCGAGACGACAGGATGGAATGTTCAGAATGCCACCGCAGGAACATTACACCGGTAGGTCATAGCTGGGAATTTCTTTTCCCTGATGAATTTTGTGTTGCTCGACAATGAAAGAGGTCAAAAAGTCATCATCTCAATAATGAATCGACCCTTGCAAAAGCCTGAGTCCGAGGGGCAAGCCTGAGTGGCAGTGGCTGCACGGCCAATGAGAAAAACACGACCGTAACTCAGCGACACTCCGATTTCGTGACTTCTTGCCTCTGACGACATCACTATGTTTTCTGCAGATCCATCATTCCTCTACTCGTATATATATGTGATGGTGAGAGAAGGAACATTATCTTTATTTTAGGTGAGAGTCAATTCATAGCTTCTTACTCTGTATGTCTGATTTTCACGTTAAGGTTTCAATTATTGCATACGTGGTGGAACAAGTGGATTCTCACTATCGTGTCAGAGGCCATGTTTCTCCGCCGGCAAACTTCCTTTTCTCAGCTGGCATGCTTGATTCGTTTCTTACTGCAGAGGAGCACGCACCGACGCCTTCAATCTGTTGCAAACGCCGCAATACACAGTATGGTGCAGGCTTGGTACCCCGGCCAGGACGTCAATCCAACTGCCACAATGTCAAATGAGGCCGTCGTCCCTTGTATCATGCTCACCGGCAGCCTACCCGTGTACGATCTCATTCTCCCCATACGAACACCCAATAAGATTTTCTTATTTGTGCCGGAAGTTCATTTGATCGCTTTGTTTGTTATGTGCGTACATTGTAATTAAATCGGCACATAAATTACCGGCCCCATTCCATTCCATCTATCAGACAATCACATCTGTCCACGATGACTCAGGGCAAGTTGATGATATCCACACGTATTCACAGTCATCGTTAACAAGGATGCATGATGAGTCTGCTATTAATATTAGGGATGACGAAATCATGAGAAAATTAGATTGTTTCGTTCGCACTGACCTGTACTGTTACCGCATGCAGGTGCGTCTATTATTACTACGAACCATTCACTGATATTTGGGTGTACTGTACATGCTGTTTCAAGCTGAACGACAATCCTACAGCAATAGCAATCCGAATGTCAGTTCCTTTCTTAATCTCATCTTCTGTTTTAGATCAATACATGTTCGCGGTGGGTGCAACAGATGTGATATGGGCTTTGAATTCATACATTTACCTAACCCCGGGCCTTTGTCTCTTAGTACGGCTAAGTTGTCAAACATGGCACTTGTTCAGGTGTAATTTTGATTCATGTGATTGTGCACAATGCACCACTGAGTTCTGATTCCGCAAAAGGATTTGGAACTTCCGGGATAGACTTGCACCCTTGTAGAAGCCACATGGACAGACTCATGGTTCCCTCGTACGAGAACGTGATGCACACCAAGATGCTGGGACACTGGCGGAGCAGACGTCGCCATAAATACAAGAAGATTGATACCAGGAAAACCAAGATGGGCTGGTCACGTCAATGATGGGGGCTGGAGAGCACAGCAACGACTGATGGCGAAGTTCCCATTCGTTCATGGTGCGGCCGGCCAGTTCTTTTTTGGTAAGTCTTCAGCCCAATTACACATTCAATTGCCAAATTGCCATTGACAACAACAAGCCAGCAAGGTTACAATAGTTACAATAGCAAGCACGGACTCCGTCCCCCTCCATTACTGAAGAATTTATAGAGTTCCTTTATGAATGTGTCTACTCTGTCATGCCAACCCTTTTATTATTCCGTTGTTGTGTTGTTTCTCTCCTATTTTCCTCGTGCACCATGAAATTACTGGCACTGCATCAAACGGAGTGATGAGGGCATAATCGGACCGGGAGATGTGCATATCGTGTTTGCGACTCCTGTGAGGTGACTCAAGGAGGCTGACAATTCTTGAATTGTGGACTAGCTTGAGAGTTTGGGCGTTCAAAGGTTTTGTGACGTCAGTGAGTTCTCCTTGAACTGGCATTTTGGCGTGTACTCATGTCCAACCCAACTTGAACTCGAAGCTCCCTCCGTACAAAGTTGAGAGACTGGATATTTACAGTGGCGTGGGCTCTGCGGCAATTTATTGAAGTCGAAGTTAATCACGTGACCCTCTTCCCTGGATCCGATCAACCATTCAAATGATAGTTCACAGCTACGAGCTCGAGAATGGAAAGCCCGGCCATGTTACCTCTACGGCGCTACAGCGGTAAGAGTGTTTCCTGTCAACCTTTTCGATCCCAAAGGCCCTCCACGCTTACCTTGTCGCGTTTAGGCAATGTCTCCACTGGTGTTGTCGTTTTGGAGAACCGAATTCTGGTCGTCAGACGCGAAACTAAGCAGAGCTACCAAGTTCTGTTCGGTTTCCCTCACTGGGCCCGAAAGGGGATGTGAATTTTGCGAACAGAATAGGTTGGCGGGCCTGTCCTCGTGATCGTCGTAGACGCCTCGGCCTTCCTTGGTTTTACCCACCACACTCGAGGTGCTGCATCCTTCATTTGAAGGTGGCAGTAGTAACCATACTGCAAGGCTTTCATTCAACTGTCGGGTTTCTTGGGTATCGTATACACATCTTCTAGAATGAACCATCCATATAGCGGCTCAGCAAGCTATATTCATGCCAATGTTGTGAGTGTACTATTGTAGCTTGTTAACTGAAGCACTGATATCGAAACAGTATGACAAGTTCGACGATAATGTATACGGCAAGGCTCCGCTCCCCCCATTGCGCAGTTTTGCACCGGTTTGTCCTTATCTCTACTCAATTGGATCACGTCGTTGACGAAATGACTGTAGAGGATGTCTGTCGATTCAATACCCTTCCTTTTATTTGATCGGGTTGAGAGTAGGAAAGAAAAACCTAGAGTTCGGGGACGATCACATATCCCAAGTCGCTCAGAGTTAGCTGTATGTCTATCCTTCGCCAGATAAGGACGCTCATGACTGACCTTTGTCTACAGCGACGCACCTTGAATGCTCTAGGGAAGTTAAGATGTAGGGTCAGCTTGCGGTGGCCGTCCCCACCTCAAGTTTTTCGCCGATCTCACCAATCCCACGAAAACAGTTCCGGTGAGTACAGGTCACTTGGTTTCCTTGGTTGTTGTTGATAATGTTATGGTTACTCTAGAATTTTATATGTAACCACCTATGACTATGCGACGATCCCATTTGGTTTTACCTACGCTCATCTAATATCTTTGTTATTTATTGGTGTCCTCAAAAGCTATTCTCTGCTGTATTTATCGCTCATAATTTATGTTTAGTACGTTCATTTTGGACTGGTGCATGTGTATTTCACGAATGGACAACAATTTATCATATGCAGACTGTTCATGTCTCTGTCCGTTTGTGAGGATGTGGCTGTAAACCTATTTAAAGGGATTTCCTGTGTAGACTCATCTTTATTCGATGATCAACATGTTTCCGGTCAACGGCTGTGTCCTGTCAGCGAACTGTCAAGGTCAAGTTGCAAATCATCTTTCTCTCATTTGTGAGTTCCATTGAACAATTTTCAACATGGTGTATTTTAACTTCCTTTCAGGTGGGCGTTCATCCTGAGTCAAACTACTTGAAGCCGCATCCATAATCCAAGGAACTAAGCCACTGTTAGTGTGAATGGTATTTGCAAATCATTGGTCACGTGCACAGAAATGAGTTCTGACGCGCCTTGTAATGTCTTTCTCCATCGTTTAGAGCGCAAAACTGACAAATATTCTCAAGCCTCATTTGTTCTCTTAGAATAATGGCGTTATGGCTCCGCAGATTCTGTCCGATTATCAATGTCGGTGACTAAGGCGTGGTACCCATACTAGCATACGGGCCAGCTACTGCATCCACAGCGTTCGTCATCCGATCTCGATGCATCGACGGGGAGGAACACGATCTGCTTATCCATTGTCTTACAATCTCAGTCCATCCGACAAGGCCAGCAGATGAGTCACTCCAGTTTGAGACTACAAAGGAACAGTTCCATTGGAGGTGTCCAACAGGATCGTCACACTCCTGAAACTCCAACCATATCCCAGACTTTTGGTTTAATCTTTTTATAATGCCCGTTGACCGTTCTCCACTAACAGATATGCGAAAAGAGCAATCTTCTCTACCGGAACGTACTGGCTTATCTGCATCTCACGTAGACGTCGACTATTTCGACCCCCAAGGAGTCAGAGAACTCCGTCGTGCGTTGAGTCGACCGTACAGTCAACAAATTATATCAGAGGCATCGCCATCTTTGGAATCCACTCACGGTCCAGGAGATGCAGACAGTTCTGATACGGTCCTGAATCATCCAAATGATCTGGAAAGAAACTTACGCTATACCTTGAAGAAGTCTGTCCTTCCATACTTTCACTTGATATTCCGTCTAAACCCCTTCCCTACTTTGCAGGCGCGATGAAGCTGATATCAAGTCGCGCGAGCTTGGAGTACTTTTTGAGGACCTTCGTGTCGTTGGACTGGGTAATTCTGCTTCATTCCAACAGACATTGGGCTCCTTACTGAACCCCTGGAACATCATAAAATCCATCAATGACTCTCGCCATCCTCGTTTACGCGATATACTGAAAGACTTCCGAGGCGTAGTCCGACCAGGCGAAATGCTTTGTTGGTCTCAGTTCTGTTCAACATTCTCAATCAGACTGACCTTTATCCAATTCACAGTGGTCTTAGGTCGACCGGGGTCTGGTTGTAGTACCTTCCTCAAGGTGCTCGCTAATCAACGAAAGGAATTCCACGCAGTACATGGAAACGTCCATTATAACTCGTTTTCTCCAGAAGATATCTCTCATCGCTATCGCGGTGATGTCCAGTATTCCCCAGAGGACGATATACATTTTCCTACTCTGACTGTGGAGCAGACAATCGGCTTTGCAGCTAAGACACGAGCACCGCATTCTCGTATCGATGGTCAAAATCGACAGGACTACCGCAATGTCACGACTGATGTTTTAACGACGGTATTCGGATTAAGACATGTCAAGAAATCACCAGTTGGTAATGCTGCAATAAGAGGCGTTTCGGGTGGAGAGAAGAAACGAGTATCTATCAGTGAGGCATTGGCAACTCGAAGTCTTCTCAATTCTTGGGACAAGTATGTCAAAAAACGCTCGTCTTTATATAACCTTCTCGTTGACGTCTTATCTGTCAGCTCGACGCGGGGCCTTGATGCCTCTACGGCTGTTGAATTTGTACGCGCACTTCGCATTGCGACGGACGTGGGTCGCCTTTCCACTATAGTCTCGATTTATCAGGCAGGTGAATCCCTTTACGAGATGTTCGACAAAGTTTGTGTCATCTACGAGGGAAGGATGGCCTACTTCGGGCCCGCAGACCGCGCAAGACAATACTTCATTGACATGGGCTACGAGCCTGCGAATCGCCAGACTACTTCAGATTTTCTAGTTTCAGTCACAGATCCCCATGGTCGGATTGTCCGCACTGGAATGAGTGTCCCTCGATCATCATCTGAATTTGAAGAATACTACAGGAGATCTGACATAATGAATATCAATGAAAAAGATATGGCCTCCTTCCGCGATCAAGTTTTTGGGAAAGATCATCTGGTAGCTTCATATAAGGCGAGTGCCAAAGCAGATCAATCCCGGCACACATTCGACTCTAGCCCATACACAATCTCAATCCCAATGCAAGTGCGGGCGGTAATGACAAGGAGAGTACAGATTCTGAAAGGTTCTTGGACCGCGCAGTTAATCAATACTATGTGAGCAACTCTGTATGATTGCTTTGGAGTTGATTTACAGTGTAATACAGGGCATTCATCCTTCAAGCTATCATTCTGGGTACAACTTTCTTAAAACTTGCTCCGGCTACTTCTGCATTTTATTCTCGTGGAGGTATACTATTTTTGTATGTCCTATTTGCCCGACTTATCGCAGTCAGTCATTGATCACGATCTACAGCTCTGTATTTTTGCCTGCACTCTTTGCAATGTCCGAAATTCCTTCCCTCTTCGCCCAGCGCCCAATCGTCCGACGCCACCAGAAAGCTGCCATGTATCATCCCTTTATAGAAGGATTGGCGATGACTCTAGTCGATATCCCGGTCACGTTCTGTACCATCTCTATTTACTGCATTATTTTGTACTTCCTTGTGGGGTTACAGCGAACAGCTGCACAATTCTTGTACGCTTGTTCATCCTACGCCATCATCGCTAGCTAATGTCCCCTTTCGTTTCATTAGTACATTATTTTTGTTCGTCTTTGTAACCGCAATCATTATGAAGTCTCTCTTTCGCGGATTAGCTGCGTCGTTCAAGGCAGAGGCCCCGGCACAAGCTATCGCAGGTATAATGGTCCTGGCGCTTTCTCTTTACAGTAAGTGGATTATATTGAGAAACCTGGCTGAACCGTCCTCATTGATAGTACTTAGCTGGCTATCTCATTCCTATGCCGTCCATGATCGGTGGGTTAAAGTGGATTACCTACATCAACGTATGTCATATTCCTAGGTCTGCTGCGATTTTATGTTGACCTTCGCCCTTTCCCGTAGCCTATCCGGTACTCCTTTGAAGCGATACTTACAAACGAATTCCACACTTTAAATGGCTTATGTACATCAATTGTTCCAAGTGGGCCTGGTTACGAGAATGTACAGGAAGATAACAGAGCCTGTACAACAATAGGATCAACTCCTGGGAATCTCTATGTCGATGGCAATATATTTGCTGCGTTGTCCTTTGGATATTCATACAACAACGTCTGGCGGGTGAGCTATTATTTCATTACCTTTGGACTTTGTCAGAGTATGACAGATGTTATCGCGCAGAATCTCGGAATTCTGATCGCCTTTTGTATTTTCTTCACCACTTGGCTCCTTGTTTTTACAGAATTTAATACAGCGTCAGCTGGACAAAGCTCAGTTACAGTGTTTAAGCGCGGATCTTCGTCTTTACCTGTGCAAGATGCCACCGATAGCTCAAGCAACGATGAAGAGAAAGATCAAGCGACCACAGCCACACCCGTTGAAAGTCACTTGGAGTCTCGTGTCCAATCAGAGAAAGATGCCCAGGAAGCACTAGCAGAGCAGCCTCGGATGACAGATATCTTCTCTTGGCAGCATATCAATTACGACGTGTCTGTATCCGGAGAATCCAGGAGGCTGCTGAACGATGTATCGGGATATGTCGCACCAGGAAAGCTTACTGCACTCATGGGCGAATCAGGAGCTGGGAAGGTATGCATTATGCTTCATTTTGTAAAACAGCTCAAGAGCTGTCTTCTAGACAACGCTCCTGAACGCACTAGCAGAACGGATTGATACTGGTACTGTGACCGGAGACCGTTTTGTGAATGGCCATCCACTTCCGAGGGATTTCCGAGCGCAGACGTTTGTTTATTTTTTTTTACCCCCTACAGTCGGTTGATTCCTGATGCTACTTGTCAGTGGCTACTGCCAGCAAACAGATACCCACCTTCCGACAATGACGGTCAGAGAGTCCCTTCTGTTCTCAGCCAAGATGCGTCAACCTCTGTCTGTACCAATGGCAGAGAAGGAGGCTTAGTAAGTAATGACTTGTACCGATTGCTGAACATCTTCTTACCCTTCCTTACAACTTATTCACAGCGTCAATAAATGTTTGGCGATGTGTGGTTTAGAGGCATTTGCCGAAGCGACAGTAGGCTCTCTCGGCGTAGAGCATAAGAAGCGTACTACTATTGCAGTAGAGCTGGCTGCTAAAGTACGTATCTGATGAACTTTACTTGACTCTAGTGCTGAACTAGAACACCTTTCATAGCCCCAACTTCTTTTGTTTCTGGACGAACCCACTTCTGGACTTGATTCTCAAAGTGCATGGGCAATCGTGTCCTTTCTTCGTGATCTAGCCGACAGTGGACAAGCAATATTGTGCACGTAAGCGTGATATTCAAATACTATAGACGCTGATACTGATATATCTTCTAAGGATCCATCAGGTAGATATTCTTAGGCATAATTATAGTATATCCTGACTTACCCTTGCTTTGAAAGCCGTCTGCTGAACTTTTCCAGGTTTGATCCTTCGAATATAGCCATTTTTGCTTCTTTAAATAATTTGTGTAGGTCTTTGATCGACTTTTGCTACTCCGCAAGGGAGGTGAAACCGTGTACTTTGGTGACCTCGGGAAAAATGCAACAAGTCTCCTACGCTACTTCGAAAAGAATGGTTCACGCTCTTGCGAACCACTTGAAAATCCGTATGGTACCCCATTTTTTCCAACATATATGTCTCCTGACACCCGTCTTTACAGAGCTGAATTCATGCTAGACGTGATTGGTGCCGGAGCCACTGCTTCTAGTGAAAACGACTGGCACCAAACATGGACCCAGTCAAGGGAATCTGAATTGCTACAAGAGGATATTGAAAACATCCACGCCGATGGGCAAAAACATCCACCGATCAAAGCTACTTTTCGCTCGGATTTCGCTACCCCTTGGGCATACCAAACCTGGACATTGTTGAAGCGGGCGATGCTGGATCATTGGCGAAACCCAACCTATTTGATGGCCAAAATCATGCTTAACATTGTAGGCGGGCTACTTATTGGATTTACGTTTTTCAAAAGGAAAGACACCATCGAAGGCACCCAAAATAAGCTTTTCGTAAGATGACTTTCATATTCCCGTCGATTTCAGCTTGCTCATTTCAGACGCGATCAGTCAATTTATATGGGTTTGATTCTGAGCGTCCCACTTGCAAATCAACTTCAAGTTGTATTCTTGAAGATGCGTAATATTTATGAGATCCGCGAAAGACCCAGTCGAACGTATGGATGGACGGCTTTAGTAACTTCACAAATCCTGGTCGAAATTCCTTGGAATATCTTGGGATCTACTCTGTTCTTTTTGTGCTGGTATTGGACTGTTGGATTCCCGAGCTCTCGAGGGGGTTTTACCTATTTGCTCTATGGCGTGCTCTTTCCTGTCTACTACACCACAATCGGTCAGGCCGTTGCTGCTATGAGCCCCACCGCCGAAATTGCTGGCATTTTATTCAGCTTTTTGTTTTCCTTTGTCTTGACGTTCAATGGCGTTCTCCAGCCTTATTCCCAACTTGGTTGGTGGCAATGGATGTATAGAATCTCTCCCTATAGCTACCTCATCGAGGCATTAGTAGGGCAAGGTCTGTATTCAAAAATACCGCATCACCAGTGCCTTTTGTTGATGATGTATGTTCGCTATCATAGTGACCGGCGGACAGCTCATCAACTGCGCCTCTACGGAACTGACCACCATTGAACCGCCCTCGGGATCATCTTGTGGATCTTATCTGGGGCCTTTTGTTTCAATGCAGGGGGGATATCTAGTCAATCCAAGCGCTACAAGCAGTTGTCAATATTGTGCAGATCGGACGACAGACCAATGGCTTCTGCAGATGTTTAATATTTCACCCTCCCACCACTGGAGAGACCTTGGTATATTTTGCGCATTTATAGTCTTCAACGTACGTGCTGTTCCTCACAGGGTAACATACACTGCTTTACTTATTTATTCGGTCTTTTACAGACAGCAGCTGTTTTTATCTTCACATATCTCTTCCGTATCCGTTCGTATAGTTTCTTTGGCACTTTCTTCCGTTGGCTGGGGCGTCTTTTGCCATCCAAACACCAAAAAAGTAAAACCAGAGAAGTTGGCACAACATAGAAAGGGGCTACAAAACAGAGTTGCCCATTGCATCCTTGTGCGGTTACGAATTGTATTATCCAACTGGAGTATGATGTAAGAATGTATATTTCATACCATCTACGATCTTCAGGGAATTAATGATAGCAGATGTGATGTACAGTTGTTATGCGTAGGCAGCCTGAGGGGCCTTTCCACTCTCGCCAAACCCGTAGTTCTCTCCTTTCACGAATGCTCGGGTACATTGTGCCATGGTAACGGACCTGCAAATAAATGTTAGGTACAGCGAATGTGTAGATGCACTTTTACTTACGCCCGCGAAATAGGATCAGTCTGATAGAAGTTACTTATTGGCTTTGAGAAGGCTGTTCCAGACACTTTAGCACCTGTAGTAGATGCGGCCAGAGTTTTCAATCCCGCCAACGCAATGTCGATAGAGGTAGGTTCCACAGTATCATAGCGAACCAGACTTGGAGAGATCTCCCACATGCGGTCGCGCAAAGACAGGACATCGTCATATGGTAATGGGGTTTCTACGACTTCAGATAAAGCACTAGAATAGATAACGATCAGTACCCATAATCATTCAGCAGGCTGAGCTTTGAACCTACCGGATAATTTTCCAGTCTTCCCGTGATGCACCTGGAGGAGGAACGGCAGCTCTGCCTAGTTGTGATCGACCTTCAGTGTTAATCCAAGTCATCGATTTCTCTGTGTATGCTGCAGCAGGCAAGCAAACATCAGCTAGTGATGCTCCGAGGTCTCCGTGATGACCTTGATACACAACGAATGCATCTTTGGGAATGGTTTTGGGATCAATTTCATCTGCATTCATGAGATAAATGAATTTCGGCTTGGTCGTTGAAGCTTTCTTCGAGGGAACGAAGCCGATGTCATAGGCAGCCGGTCTTGATGCGACCTAGAAGTATATTTGAGAAGTGCAGTATAAGATATAAGGGGATTAAATAGCTACCCGATGAAGTACGGAGAATCCGGTCCACTCAGGTGTAAGAAGTGAGCTTTTGTTCTTCTCCACAAACTTCGACAAGGCATTATATGCTGCAGCACCATCGGGATGTTCCGATAGTGCGCTTCCAACGATGATCATAGGGCGATTGGCAGCTTTGAATTTTTCTGCAAATGGTCCCTTGCCGGCGATGAAGTCGGCCAGAGCTTTAGCATCGGAACCAAGGTAATCGTATCCATAAGCTGTGTCAGCACGTTCGCCGATAAGTCCGACTTCCAGACCGGTGTGCAACCAGCTCTTGCGGATACGAGAGTTGAGTACGGCTGCTTCGTGGCGCGGGTTAGTGCCGACCAAAAGAATGACATCGGCGTTCTCCACCCGAGGAATAGTGGTGTTGAACAGGTAATTTGAACGCACGTCAACGCCGTGGACTGGAGGAGCGTGGCCATTCGGTTGATCGAGTGCAAGATTGTCGGAACCAAGGCGATTGACAAGATCCTTCAAAGCAACAAGCGACTCTGTATCAGCCAAGTGACCTGCAACAGCTTGTATCTCGTCTCCTTTGGCCCCGGAAGAAGATAGACCATTGGCAATAGCAGAAAGAGCCTCTTCCCAGGAAGCAGGTACGAAGCGATCACCTTCTTTAATGAGGGGAGTCGTCAAGCGTTGGAATTTGAGGCCATCATACGCATACCGAGTCTTGTCGTTGATCCATTCCTCATTGACGTCATCGTTGGTACGAGGCTGGATTCTCATAACTTGCACTCCTCGTGAATCTACTCGAATATTAGAACCGACAGCATCTAATACGTCAATGGACTCGGTATTCTTCAGTTCCCAAGGTCTTGCATGGAAAGCGTAAGGTTTGCTGGTCAAAGCACCGACAGGACAGAGGTCTACGACGTTCCCAGATAACTCCGAGTCCATCGTCTTTTCAACATACATGCCGATCTGTAGGTCATTACCTCGTCCGGTAGTTCCGAGTTCTTCGACTCCTGCCACCTCATTGGCGAAACGAACACAACGCGTACATTGGATACATCGGTTCATGGAAGTTTTCACCAGTGGGCCCAGATCTTTGTTTTCAACGGCACGTTTGCCCGTGACCTCGTGGAAACGAGTACGGTCTGAACCATAGCGCATAGATTGGTCTTGAAGATCACACTCTCCTCCTTGGTCACATATAGGACAATCAAGTGGGTGGTTTGCCAAGAGGAACTCCATAACACCCTCACTGCACTAATCGTGAGGAAAGAGAGATAAGAATTATCCACACAACTTACCGAGCCTCGTGCACTAGAGGGGTATTCGTGAATACCTTGGACCCTGGCATGGCAGGCATAGCACTAGAAAGTATTTGTTTTGAGTAGCCAATGTAAACCAGTGATTGAGGACATACCAGGATGCGACAGGCTTCGGAGAACGTTCTACTTCCACTAGACACATTCTAATGAAAGTGACCCTCAGACGGCAATGAAGGATTTACACAACGTGATACGTACCGGCAATTGCCTGCAATGGCAAGTCTGCACCATGGACGTCAGGATGCTTAATAATGAAGAGAGGTAAGAAAGGGGAGTACCTATCATGGTAACAGAAACTAGATGGGCGTTAGAGTGAGCAAAGAAGAGATGGATAGAAATAGGTGTAACATACCGTGGTATAACAGCTCCTGCAGCTTCACAAGCTTGTATCAACGCAGAGCCTGATAGAAACTGTCATGGAACTGCGTAGTACAACAAATTGAAGATACATACCTTGAGGTACCGTTACTTCCTTCCCGTCTACGGTCAGCGTGATGTCGGCATGTCTAGCTGACGAGGATGATATCGTTCTACGACCTGCACGAATGTTTGACTTTAGATACTGTCACCGAACTATAGAAGGGAATATTTGCACCTTTATGCGAAGAGCCAGAGGAAATGACCTTCCCGAGTCGTCCCGCCGACGTAGGCCGCGAGACTATTCGTAACATGACGGAAAAAGCACCAGAAATTTTTTAAAGAGAAGGGAGCGTATCCACTGGACGCTTGGGCGCGCACCGTACGCCAAAAAGTATTGGTGTTATGTAGTGCTCGTCGTTGTACACGGCGACCAAGCAAATCATTCGGATTTCGTGGTCTGCTCGATTCAGGCGGAGATCCAATACTCGGCGTTATGCCACCTTATGCCACCGACATCCATAAACGGTGCAAGCGCCGTGATCACGTTTTTATATTTTATCTCAAACCTCAGACCTGCAGATTTGAATCTAACCATTTTTTTAAATTCCAGGATTTCCTATGTTATGGTACCGTACATTCGTAAAATACATCCTACGTACAATTGCGCTGAAGAAATTTAACAGGAAAACATTAAGATGAGAGAAAAACAGCCAACGTCCAGATATTCGTGCGATCGTACTACTAAATGTGAACGTGGGGGTGTCATCAAAGTAAGCAACGGGCCAGCCGTCTTCGCGCCTCAGGGGACATAAGTCACCAGGAGGACATTGACCAGCAATTTTTCGAGTTCGCCGTTGGACACGAACGGAACCTTTTCCTTCGACATCGGCCCTGGACTCCAGTCTGATAGAACAAAGATCTCAGCTTCGGCGAGTGGGATGGCACCGCTTTCTTCAACTCTAAACCTCAAACTATCCGCTTCTGCCCTCATAATCTCAGCCTCTTCTTCGTCAGAGTCGCCGTAGCCGCTGAACGCACGACCAGCCGTTCGCCGCGAGGATCCATAGCCTCCAAAAGTCATTCGAGCGCCGCTGGGGCTCGATTCTGCCTCATTCCCACATTCGACGGTGCGATCGATAGGCCATATGTAGCCGCCCGCCGACCAGTGAAGCTCCGGTGCAAGCTTGAATATTTTGATAGCGTGATATAGTAATGAATCGTTTCCTTTCAGCTATATGACGGAGATGAGATGTCAGCCCGGGTCAAGTCAGAAGCGTCCAATCCAAAAATAACTCACGTGGGGAACCAACGAATCTGCGAGGACCTCGGAGGGATTGACAGTGTACTCTTGCGTCAAATAAAACGCGATTTTACGTCCTCGAGACATATTCAACACGGGGGTGAGAAAGTCGAGGAACTTTTCACTGGGAGTGATAAGGGGATCCACGGTAGGTCCAAATGTCTTCAGGTGCACCCCATACGAGATACTGATCCTACATCCCCTCTGCACAGGCTCCACCTCATATTCGCACTCTGCGAGAAACGCAGTCCACTCCATATCTCCAGCCTTTCCGCCTCTTCCGTAGTATTTTTCCTCGCGGCCTTCAGCATCACGGATGACAAGGCCACCCCCTCGGAACCGCACTGGCAAGGTAACTTGAATAGTCGCCACTCTGCCATCGTTACGTAGGCTCGAAGGTTGCAGAGGTGTGCGACCACCGCATACGACGACCTCTAATTTATCTCTCGTGGTAATCAAATAATGACCAACAGGTAGATTTGGGAAAAGCATATTACGAACTGCTTCCAGAATGGGATGATTTGCGATCTCGAGGGTGGCAGTTAATGGTAGGTTGGGTGGATAAAAGAGCGATTCCCGATCGGAGTAAGTATCAAACTCTACAACTTGATGTGGTCGACATGCTGCGATGAGTACATCAAGGGCTGGTGGAGTATCGATATCGACATCGATGGGAAAATCAAGAGAATGCGTTATGCCACTCTGATTATAGCACTTCTGAGCAAGTGCAGACAAGCTCAAGCGCGAACGAAAAATACCTTTGATCGGAAAAAGAGGATAAGAGCGGACGGATCCATAGGTATGCGACCGGACACAGTAAACGGACGCGCTTTAGCTGCAATCAAACGTGAGACACTAGCACGGAGAGCATGTTCGTTATCATAGTCAGATTGGAGTCGCCGTGTGAGAGGCCTTTTGGGTTGAGCGGGTGAAAACTTGGTTGGGCGCTCGATCTCGAAATCAGAAACACTGGGGTTTCTGGGAAATGGGAGAGGACCATCCGAATGACGGCTGCCGTCAGACAGGCGGCTTGCAGCAGATGGAGTGGGTGAAGATACTATCGAGAGAGGTAACATTGGTGTGGTGGTAGTGCGGATGGGATTGTGAGCAAGACGTAAGTGAGAAGCGAGTAAAGGAAGCGCTAAAACCTTGCGGTTTTGTATCACGCGCTATCTGTGGCAGAAAAAAGTCACGCCCCTTTCATAATACACCCAAACGACGAAATAGTAGTACTTGTTGCATGGATAACAAAGAAAGAACACGCACTTGCAACGTGTTTGATGCCTACAAAGGCCAGGTTCAACAATAGAGCACCTAAAACCAAGAAAAGGTCGTCCCGTGAGAGTGCCGAACAAAGATATCCCATCAGCTTTCCAATTAGCTTACTGCGACCTCGGGCTGTAAGCCTTTGCAGACGTTAATGGGCAAGGAACTGTTCTGGAATGGTGCTTGTGCAGATAAGACCAGGTTCTGATCCCGCACAGCAGGCATTCGATGCTTCATCACGAGTATACAACGTGTTTGCGGGGACGTTGACGTTGGTCCATGGAATTAAGGGAGCAGAGAAGGTGAAGGATCACGTACGTAAATCCATGCGCCTGCGCAAAGCACGGAGACCCAGCTCGTTGTTTCCATGAGACAATTCACATCCATCACACACACTCTCAGAACAACGACGTTTGTTGTAAACGCAGTTGCCTAGTTTCACCTGCATGTTTGTCACAATATAAGGTGAGCATCTCAACAAACACAAAAGTAACAATTAGCATTGAGTTTGAAGTTTACATTGATGCAGCCACCAATGATTCAAAGGGCGGTCGGACGTTCTCTGAGAAGAAACTTAAAAGGGATACACACACTGCTTCCAGCTCCCATGTTCTCGGAGCTACTTTCTCGGACGTTGACGTTACAGGGGTTCTTAAGCCGACAACCACGGCGCAGATAGGGAGAATTCCTGTCCATGGCGGCCAGCTACGGCTTCCCATGAAATCAATGGATCAGACCATGGAACCTGCATAGCATACGGTAAGTGACCGGATTGAGGACATACTGGATATGTTGCAGCTTACGCACCTTAATCCCCACTTTCTCTGCTCATCGGAGAAATAATAGATCAGCCAGTAAGATAAATCCTTCTAATACATAACCCACAAGCAGCATCATACAAGCACCGAGAAGAAACAGGTATCAGGTGGGCAATGACAAGGTATCATAGCGTAAAGGACATCGAGTCACGGTCATCTGCCCATAGTCTTGCGTATTCTAGGCACAACCTGTACACATAAGCTGTAAAGCAGGGGGTTTCAGTATGTGCACGTTCTGGTGACTGAATTGCAAAGAGCATGCAACGAACCTTCCATGTCGATAGTTCGCCCTATCGTCTGTTTCCACTGTTTCCCGGCTCGGGCTATCCGTCGCAAACGCATGTCGCCATCTTCTGATCGTCGCTCATGTAGTGCAAGTTGCAATGAGGTTGAGTTTGCGGCCTCTAAAGTGGACTGCGTAGCACCGGAGAAGAACGCGTGTATGTTATAAATCTCTTGGTAAGAGGATGACAAGGGTATGTAGTGTAACCTGAGCGTCACAAAGGGGTGAGTAAGATGACCGCAGTTTAATACATGAATTCATTTGAAACCCACCAAGGCTGTATCCAATCCGTGAAATATTCTCTATATACCGTCGACTTGATCACGGCGCTATCGGACGCCAAGAATGCCATGAAACGTGCTGAATAGGACATCCCGTCGAGGTCAATCAAGTATTTGTATGACCAGTGTTTACCAAGGGGCACCGAGTCAGCAAATCGATGGTGTTCCCTCAGTGCTTCCTCGCCTTCAGGGTAGTTGCCAGTAGACGAGACAAATGCAGTGTCCATTATTTCGTCGTTCAGTTGCTTGGAAGAGACTCGGGCAGAAACAAAATTGGTGCTCGATGGCGGGTCCGCAAAGGCGATTGTACGATTGGCATCCATCCTTACATCCGACATCTGGAGGAACCTATTCCTTTGCTCAACAAGATGTTTCACGACTCTAGACATCTACTTACCTGTGACGCTGATATTGTGCAGCGAAGCCGGGTGGCGAGTTCCCTCCTCCAGTGGTAGCGCCTCGCCAGAAGATGGCGTCTTCCTTGTCGTCCCAGGGCACCTCCATGTCGTCGACAAGCTTGGGCTCTACATTGAGCGGATCCCAACCATAGGTATAGTACTGGTTTTGACCATGATAGTAATGACTTGGTATTCTAATATCCGAAAAACCTTGAGCTCTTGCAGGGGAGAAAACGGGGTAAAGGATGGGTATCGTCCTCCAGTCCGAGAAAAAGTGGCCCTGGTTATAATGCGCCCAAGGATATTCACAGAAATCAAGGTTAGTGTCCGGTTGTTCCACGAACGTAACTTCATCTCGCGCTTCGGCTACGGGTCCAAGGAAAACCTTGATGTTTTCATTGGTAGGTCCGCGGCGTGAGCTGAAGAGGCGCCTCGCAGGTGAGTCGGCAGGACAAGTGCGGCGCCAGGCTTCCCATACATTGCCCCTCCCGCTCCAATCTGGTGAGAATTCACGTAACATCACCTCAAACTCTGTGAACGACATGTTCGTCAGATCGAGAGGATACGGCAGAAATGAGATTCCTGACCTGATGTTGAATCTTGTTCTGTCAGATTGGGATAGTTCTGATGCTCCCATGGTACCAATACGCGTCCTTCAGCTTTGGCGTTGACGGGAAAGTACATATCTGGTAGCTGGCACATATAACGTCATGTTTATTCTAGGAAACAGGGGATATAAGCAAGTACCTTCTCTTGGAATTTCTCCATCATAGTACGAAAGCCGAGAGACCGGTGGCCGCGCTCGGTATCTACCCATATCTTTTCGACATTGGCATTGATGGCTACGCCGTCCTGAATGCGTACCAAGTCAATAGAGGGCAATCTGCCAACCTGAAAGACTTTTTTCAGCATTATAGTTGTGAACGGGATGAGTGTATTTTTGAACCTGAAGCGCTCTCCGGCGTAACTCTTGGCCGGTCAAGTTCCAGAAGGGGGCCAAGTCTTCTACGAGCCCGTCATACTCATCCACCAACTTTACATTGTGCTGCTTTGCGAAAGCCCACCAGTCGTCAAAGCCCTTTGGTGGGTTTCGATTGTATCTCCTCTTGTACTCTGCGACTGCGTGTTCGAGAGACTTGCTCTGCCTGGACAAGAGGTTGCGAAATTTTTCCTCTGCTTCTGCCATGAGTATGGGTATAGGATGCTGTATGGCATTGGATGTGGAGGATGATGAGAAAGGGAGAAAGTTGGAGGTATCGGGTAGCCAGTTTTTAGGGAAAGACTTCGATATTTGATCCCTATGTCCTGCGAAGATACCAGCCTGCATAAAAAATAGAAAGATGCAAGCTAAGAAGATCCAGGCTCTGTTTCTGGTAAGGAAACGGTCAGCATTATCTGAGGACCGCATGATGAGAGGTGTATGCTAAGTCTGCGGTGGAGACAAGTCCACGGAGAAGAGCGACAGACGATGGGTCGCTAAGCGAAACTGCGTGTGTGGAGCGCAATGGCTGCGAAATCTGAATCTTGAACGCTATTCAACGTTGTGCACAGGATTAATGAGCGCAGACAGGAATCAAGAGCGTACGGTGGATGATTGGTTACGGTTCAACTTTCGAGCCCGGCCAATGTCCGGCATAATATTTTTCAAAATCCGATGTACCTTCAGCTATTATATTTGTATTTAGCAAAATTCGAGCAAGGCCTTTGATGGGCGATCAACGAAGATACATTTTAATTAATTTCTTTGATCCAGCGAGTGTGATTTGGGCAAAAGCCAGTGTGATGAGAGATCGAGCGAGCGTGCAATTCAATATGTCAACATAGGATTTCAAGCGTCCAAATACATCAAGAAATTACAAGTATTACACATATACTGACAACCCCTCTCCTCAAGGTAAGATCTCCACCTCACCCGCTTCGATTGTGTTCTGCATGGCTGTGATACCGGCGGAAATAGAAGGACAGCGAGTAAAAACGGCGCGGCTGACAGCGATAACGAGAGGAGAGGTAGACTGCCTGAGAAAATAGAGATGAGACAGTTTCGAAGTCGACGAGTCAAAGGTCACTTACCACGCAGCAAAGATACCAATTCTACGTCCTCTGGTGACCAAATAGAAGGGACCAGCTGTCCCAGCATCAGGAACCTCATAAACCTGGCCGAGGTATGTGCGAGTGATAGCCTGTGAGGCATTTGGCACATTACCTCCAGGTGGAGCGGCAGGGGTAGCGAGCGAGCCAAGTGCTGTGGTGAAAAGAGGAGAGCTGGTGGTGATCGGAGAAACTGTCGCATAAGCACTGGCACCCAAAGCAGGAGTAAGCGGAGAAGAGGCGGCACCCAAAGCAGGAGTGCGTGAAGAAGCAGCAGCTGAAGGACCAGATACCACAGTAGAGCTGGCGGCAAGCGACCCTTGAACTATTGAGGAAGATGGGGAAGAGCTGGTGTATATGGGACTTGATGGAGTTGAAGGGCGGGCACTGCCAAGAACAGCGGACATCATGAGCATAGCGTTGCTCCTACTCAAGGTTACGGATGAGAGGAGAGAAAGGAGGATGTCTGGAGGTACACGTAAGTTAGTGCAATAATCAGAAACATGAGAAGGCCTTACTCATAGTTTCTTCCTCGTCGCTGAGGCAATCTTCACTCACGGAGCGTTCAGGCTGCTTGGAAGAGTTTGAACGACCAGGGGGAGGAGATTGAGTCATTGCAATTTGGAAGGAGGAGGTAAGTATGTCTGGATGATAATTGTGAACTCACCCGTACCTTTTATAGCTGTTTGCTTGAGGCAGCATAGACTTACAGCCCATAGTTGACAATTATTGAGATCTACAAACACGGCAGTCTGACAGAGTTGCAGAATTTTCATGCGTGAGAACAATAGCTAAGGTCCAACAAATCAACATCACGTGTGTACTTCACGATCTCGGAATAATCAGCTGTTCAGACAGCACTGTAAATCTTTTCATGCAATTCTGGCGACACATTCTTGAAGAGCTTCGCGTCAACCACATGCTCACGCCAATACAGTAATGCACAGTCAGTTCCAGCTCTTTCTTGTGGTCATATGTCTCATATTAGCCCGCACTAACCAAATGATTCAACGCAAAGCCAAACAATGGTCTCCGCCGACGCACAATGGGAATCCCATTGTACTCACATGCTTGGAGGATCAAGGAGATCTCAAAGAGACTGGAAGG